GCTATCGTGTAATTGGTTCGTTTAAATTTTTGTCTTACTGTGATTGGTTTGACCTATTTCGACTGATAGCCAACTGAACTAACATAGTCAAGCTCACTGTCTGAATTGAATGTTTGATCGTTTCATAATAATTGTCTAAAGCATGATAGAAACTAAACTACAATCAGATGGAATTTATGGAAATCTTTTACAAATTCATATGTTGACATGAATGCTGCTTTACCAAACTGGGAATTTTTTCAAGAGGGCGAAAAATTTATGGATGAATTGTAAATGCTTGGCAAAGACGATCTCGCGAGCGACATTTCAGTCATTGATGTTCAAAAGCAAGCCAACATTGTTTTGAGTTTTATCAGCAGAAATTTACATCCAAAATCGTAAGTAAAGGACAACTGAAGTTTATGCATGAATGTAATATATCAAAGTCAATTTATGCGAGTGTGTGATGCGATTTATGTTAATATGGCGTATGGTAAGCAGATAGATGCTTCTAAAATTGTTGTTGCCGAAGGACTTTTAGCTATGATTTCTTTAGTGCTTAGGGAATCGTGACCGTATATGGCAGCGAAATCCTACATTCCTGCAAATATATTTCAATGGACAAAAAATCTGTAGCCATAAGGCGCCATACTGTTATTTACTTTATCATAAACAAATGTTTGGGGCTTTTCAGTTTATGATCATTGATCATTCAATCATTGGACAGTTATACTACATATTGTTTAAGATTTGAAAAACTAACATTGATTACATGAGAAGCTGTTTACTATAACCTGTGATTTTGAGTCTTCTGATCCATGAAGCTTTTATTTTGACAATTTGACTGGAATGGTATTAAACCTTAGTATTTCAGATACATGAAATGTTGTCCCATGTCACATATTGTCCCCTTTTCTAACTGAACACCTCATGTAGAGATGTAAAGTTGTGTTAATCTACAGCTCATACCAGATTGTTTGCCATAAATTCAAAGGGCTATTGATGTATGAAAAGCATTTTCTATAAAGTAAAATGTCTTCCTATGTATGCAGATAAACCTTGAAATTTGGCAAAACAGCAAAGTATTTTCATGATCACTAGGTAATTTTTCTGATGATCATTGTAATTTCTAAACTAAATTATTTCAGATTTACATTTAAACGAGCTTTGATCATATGAAATGATATTTATCATAACCAGTAAGCATGACACATGAACCAATTTTAACATTCATGTAATTATATAATTAAAGACATGTTGGTTACATTCTGTTTGTAATTGATAATACAATGCTACTAGTGATTGCTATATAGCACACCTTGAAGAAGATAATAGTCAAGTGAAATGCCTAATAAACATTTATGGCATTCAGCTGTCCTTATCTGCAAATTTTCACTCTGATAATTTTTGCTTAAGCTTTGGCAGAAAAAATTTTGAGTTTTCCTCAAAGGTGAATTTGCTAATACTGATGTGGAGATGGGTAAAGGGTTACAATAAACTTGCATGGTTTGAAGTCTGAGCTTTTCTATATCTATGAACTGTCACTTGTAGTACCAAATTTCTAACTTAACTCATTACATAGAGGTTATCTAGGGGGGTCTATGCCTGACAACTTGGTAGAAATTTTTAAAGGCTATATCTGTTTTTGAATATAGCATTATTGTAAAATAAATTTTACGTTCCTAGACATGCTAATGAGCCATATATTTGGCATAATAATGAGCCTAAATATTTGGCAAAACATTCAAGTATTGTTCACTTCATTTTTTTTTTTGAAAAAAAACGTAACCAAAATGTGTTGTATTTATGCAAAAACGATGCCCACAAAATACATTTTGTAATGCTCTGAAACGCTGAAAATGGCATTTTTAAGGCTCTGAAATTCAAAATTTCTCAGGAGAGATAGCCTCAGACCCCCCCAGGTGCGGAGCGCCTCCGATGTTTTATGACTGATGTTTGAAAAATCCTAGATCCGCCCCTGGTTTATATTACATAGTTTTGTCATCGCCAGTGTCGTGCAACAAGGTAGGATCGTCAGTAATATGTCGATAAGTTTTTTTGCTTTCACGATTGAATTAGTCAGGCATCATAACATTATTATTTGTAGATCGCCATCTCTCTACACGCATTAAAGAACACACACATTCCGACAAAAACTCGCACATTTATAAACACCTTCACACTTCACCACACTGCAAATCAAAATACAGCCATTCATGTTTTCGCATCTTAGACACCGCCAACTCTCCTTTTTCTCTTAAACTAAAAGAAGCGCTCTACATTAAAAAGCTCAAACCAGACCTCAACAAACAAATATACCACATTAATACAATATTTAACCTGTAATATAATATCTAACACTAATTCCGTAATTGGCATAAGCATCCCGAAACATGTTTACGATAAAAAAAAACTCGTCGTTCATTTATTTGGAAATTCTGTTCTCACTGTTAACAATTTATTAACAACAGAATTACAAATGTGAGTTTTGCCTTGCTCAAAGATCGCGCGAAAGTCTTTGCAGATTTGAAAAATATTTTTGAAAAGTTTTACAAAATAAAACACAGTTTACACAGACTTCTATTACAAAAGGCTTATGTCATCACTTGTTATGTTCTTATTTTATGCCGTTTCATGTTATTAATTGTTTTGTTCTTTTTCTTATGTCATTCATGTCTTCATTTGTCTTGTTCTTATTCTTATGTCGTAAATTTTTGAGCATGCGCTATAAACTACGTCATGGCTTCTCTCGGACGCTGCGGACACTGGTGCACACGTTTTGAAAGTTGAAAGTTTTCGACATTCTTAGCGATGTTACGTGAACCAAGGTGCACGTGATTAAAATATACCAATCGCAACGAGTCACTATACTGTGGAAAACAAAATCATGGCAGACAAGTCATATGCTAGTACGCAATCTTTTGAACCAAATCAGGGCATTTGTGGCAACCACCTTCAGTAGAACAAATACAAATAACACATCCAACTCTAATGACGCTAGCAACACCAAATTTATCGTGCCACAACAGCATGATTTCGAAGAAAAGTATGACGATGATCAACTGGACGATATTGTGTGATATTCGCCTTTACTTTTTCCATCTAGATAGATTTGCCTCACCCAAAATCGTTTTCTGTATTTCCTTCTTTCTAATCGCCGTCTTAATAAATTCAGTATCAGCAGTCTTCTTAAAGCTGCTATCTTTGACTGGTTTTTAAATCAGCGCGTGCAAAAAAGTTTAATGGAGATTTGTTTTTGAACGCGAAAGTTTAATGGAGATTTGTTTTTGAACGCGCGAACGAATGATGAGAAGTGCCCGTTCCGTGCGCGCAGGCAAAGCGACCGTAATGGAAATTGGTCTTAAGTCAACTAGTTTGTCAATGACTTAAATTTGTCGAACATTTACGCGCTCATCAATTCATTTGTAGTTGTTGCCTATATTTTGATGTTTGGTCATCAGTTAAAAGAACGCGTAGCTACTGTTTCTTTAATTAGTTACATGTGAGCATCTAAGCTCACATTCAGCGCAAACGGTGAGTTTTTTGCCTTGCGTGGCCAAAAATATCAAACATGCTTGATATGCGAAAAAGGTTGCATTAAAAGATGCTTACTAAACTATGCTTGTATTTGCTCGGGCTGACAGGCTTGTGTAAACCGAGGAGACCTTTGGGAAAAGTCGAGAACAGATCAATTCAAGGCCGAGATTAAAGTTCGAGTTGTGTATAGATTTGCAGTGTATCTTTCATATATTCTGTTTGGATGGTATGTTGTAAAGTTTCTTCTGCCTAAAATTAACAAAATTTATAAAGTACGATATCAAAAAGATTAGGAACATGGTTTCTGAGAACTTGAATAAAGCAGATTAAGCTGAAACGTGCGTGTGACATTGCGGTGGCAAGATGTATTTAATATTGCATAAACAAGGTATTGGTCCATAGCGGAGCTATCAGAGCCCTCTATTCGTAAGAGTTAGGACAAACGGTCTGGGCGAGCGCGGAGCCGCCATTTTGGTTCCTATTTGCAAAGTGAAACTTTAATAATACTATTGGAAATTGGGTTTATATGCAAAGGAAGAAAGCAATTTAAGCTTATTCCATGGTAGTATCAAATATTTTAGGAATAATAACTAGCTCTTTGCGTTTTTTTAACGGTTTGCGGCAGACCTGATTTAATTTCATTGGTTTGAGCTTCGTTTGCGGTTTACTAGATCGTGCTGCAAATTGATCGTGACCCATTGTAAGAAGTATTTTTCACACGTGAACGTGTTTTCTCGGCTTATGTTCCGACTCTGTAACAAGTTTTCAAGATCTTTAATCTTGGTGGCAAGTCTAGAAGAGAAGTAATGTTCTACTTCGAGAAAGTAGAAATTTGTGTAATTCATTACCAAAAATATATTGTACTCAGCTGTTTCAGTGAATATCCTAATTATAATTACTTCATTTTTAAATGATGAACAAAAAATACAAAATACAACCTGGAAAATCATAGCAGTTTCTGTGATTTGGTGTAGTTGTTTGTTTTAGTGTGGAAGTGGCTGAGAATTGAGAGGTTTGTAGATTGACCAATTTCAGAACATAATGAGAAATCATCTTCGATTAAAAAACAAGCTTTGGAGTAAGAAAACTATTGAAACTGCATTGACACGAACTTTGCAATGTTATTTTGCCCAAAAATGGTTCTCTACTTGAGTCAGTTGATTGAACCTTATATCAAAAGCAGTTGAGCACAACAATCACCACACGCAATCAAATTTCGTAAGTTCGACGTAAAAGGCATTTCTTTCATTTTTTTCGTAATCATCGATTCTGGCGATATGTAATAACATTTAGTAGCCTTCAGCAATCAGTTATTACACACTTATCCATAAAAAAACGCAATATTATCTCAAAATACTGTATTACTAGCAGTAATTGCTATATAAATAATAGCTCAAAATTCAAAACTAGGAACCAAAATGGCGGAAATTGATCAGGTGATCAATATTGCCCAACCAACGTAAGCTAAACGGATAACAATAGATGTTCCAACTCTTACAAATAGAGGGCTCTGGTAGCTATACACTTCGTAAATATTGCTCACATCCGCATTTGAGTAAATAACGATATCAAAAAAGAGTAGGAGAGCGGTTTCTGTGAACTTGAATAAAGCAGATTAATGTAACAGCTGAAACGTGCGTGTGACATTGCGTGGGCAAGATATATTTAAAATTGCATAGACAAGGATATTGGTCTTTAGCGTAGCTATACACTTCGTTAATATTGCTCACATCCGCATTTGTGGTAGCTTTCGAATGAAAGGAGGAAGGTATTACACGCTTTCTCATAACATTGTTATTGAAACATTGTGAAAGCTGGAATACAATATGACCTTAATGACCATGAGATTCGATCTGTTAGCAGTACTAGTGGGAAGTATCTTTGCTTGTTTGATACAAGGTTAGTAGAACGTCTTGTTCGTCTCTTCTGATTATACATGTATTTAAATAAGACATTTAACGTAAACGACAACTTTTAAACAGACATTTACATCGATAAGTTTTGCTCACCCAATTTCAAAACATAATGAGAAATCATCTTCGATTAAAAAACAAGCTTTGGAGTAAGAAAACTATTGAAACTGCATTAGCACGAACTTTGCAATGTTATTTTGCCCAAAAATGGTTCACTACTTGAGTCAGTTGATTGAACCTTATATCAAAAGCAGTTGAGCACAACAATCACCATACGCAATCAAATTTCGTAAGTTCGACGTAAAGGCATTTCTTTCATTTTATTCGTAATCATCGATTTTGGCGATATGTAATGTCATTTAGTAGCCTTCAACAATCAGTTATTACACACTTATCCAAAAAAAACGCAATATTATCTCAAAATACTGTATTACTAGCAGTAATTGCTATATAAATACTAGCTCAAAATTCAAAACTAGGAACCAAAATGGCGGAAATTGATCAGGTGATCAATATTGCCCAATCAACGTAAGCTAAACGTATAACAATAGATGTTCCAACTCTTACAAATAGAGGGCTATGGTAGCTATACACTTCGTAAATATTGCTCACATCCGCATTTGAGTAAATAACGATATCAATAAAGAGTAGGAGAGCGGTTTCTGTGTACTTGAATAAAGCAGATTAATGTAACAGCTGAAACGTGCGTGTGACATTGCGTGGGCAAGATACATTAAAATTGCATAGACAAGGATATTGGTCTTTAGCGTAGCTACACACTTCGTTAAAATTGCTCACATCCGCATTTGTGGTAGCTTTCGAATGAAAGGAGGAAGGTATTACACGCTTTCTCATAACATTGTTATTGAAACATTGTGAAAGCTGGAATACAATATGACCTTAATGACCATGAGATTCGATCTGTAGCAGTACTAGTGGGAAGTATCTTTGCTTGTTTGATACAAGGTTAGTAGAACGTCTTGTTCGTCTCTTCTGATTATACATGTTTTAAATAAGATATTTAACGTAAATGACAACTTTTAAACAGACATTTACATCGATAAGTTTTGCTCACCATATTGTATTTTGATATGTTATGTTCAGTGGCGTAGCTAGCGAAAAACATTTGGTCGGGCTGACGAGGCGCCACCATGGTTGGCACCGAGCGAGAAAATTTTCCGAATTTAGACTCCCTTGAACGTCGGAAACGGCTATCTTAGAAAGCAAATGCGTGATATTTATGCAGGAAATAGAACCATTTTGGTTAATTTAAATTGCCGAAGGATCTTATAGTAAAGCAGAGAAATAGTTCAAAAATAGTTGCAGATATGTGATTTATTTTCTCAACACCACATACATAAATAGATACCTATGTACATCTTGTAAAGAAACTTTGACAAAAGAACAGAAAAAGGCTCAGATTTGTCATCAACAACTATTAAAAGTTGTGATGCCGTTCATTGTCGTGCTGAAATGACAATCATCATTGCTTGCATTAAAAAGTTCCCGGAAAAATTCTTACATGCCATGGACGAAAGACATCATCAGCTTGCTATCAGCCATATATGAATACCTATTTGTATAAGAAAGCAAGTCTTCGTGGTTTTTCAATGAACTTCTTTACTACCTCATCATGCAATGTGTTGGCGTCTTCTTTCTCTAACAGTATGTCTTTGTGAATGGAAATCCTGCAAAGAGAACTAAAACGTCCTTGGCTCATAGTATTTCTATGATAATTTTTTACCCTCTTCAAACAAGAAAATGACCTCTCAACTGAAGCACTTGTAATTGACAAAACCCCATTTATCTTTAACAGTGTTACAACTTCTGGAATACTAGATTGAAGATGGAACTGAAAAATATATTTCAATAGTTCATCGCATGAATCATGGTGAAAGTCGTTATCTCTGTAAATAAAACAAAGTTGGCTTACTAGCATTGGTATTTCAAACATATCACCATAAACCTCCTTTAGAAGATTTATCTTTTCTGAGGGCACTTCACCTTTCCACATCTTAAACACCCTAGGGTTAACAAGGTCTAAAAATCTAAAATGCTCCATATCCTGAAATCGCTCAGTCAGCATAGTCACAATTGTTTCAAGAATTTCAAAATACATTTGTTTGTAATTATGCCATTGGTCATACCTGGTTACTGGTGGTCCCACTTTCTCAACAGCCAGGTCGTACACCTGACAATATTCTGTATCATTTCTCAGAGAAGCAACAAAGGCCTTGAATCTCTCAAACCTACTCATTCCATAATGAAAGTCAGCGTCCTTGTCTTGCAAGATAGAATAAAGTATGGATGACTGCTCAAGAATTCTCTGGAAAACATGTACCAAGAAACAAAACAAGAAGCCATTAAGGTAGCCAAGTAAACCAGTAGTCTTACTTAACGTTTCATCATCCCAACCTATTGGATAATCAGTAAGATTTTCAAATATGTCAATCAGTTTCTCATAGTTAGAATGCAAGACATTGATGACATGAGCCCTATAATACCATCTTGTGTCACCAGGACTAGGAAACTCAAGCCTATGGGATGATAGTAAAGCTTTTCTTTTGGAGGAATTGCTAGTAAAGGTGCAGAAAGCACTAATATTAACAAAGAAAATCTTAACAGGTGAAATGGAGGATGCAGCTTGACATAATACTAGATTTAGTCTATGGGCAGCACAGTGAACAAATTGAGCATAAGGATAATCCTGCTGAACTTGAGCTTGAACACCATTGAGATGACCAGACATAACAGATGCACCATCATAAGTCTGTCCAATAAATTTCTCTTTCCATTATTATATTGACAACTTTAACCACTGATGATATAGCAGTTGCAGTCCTATCACAACTAACATCAACAAACCCAAGCTGTCTTTCAATGACACTTTCCCTTTGTCCATTCGAACAATTATACTCAATTGTTCTTTGGTAGAAATATCAGTTGCCTCATCAACCTGTGTACTTAAGAAAGTGCAGCAATCTATTTCCTTTAAGATCTCATCCTCTATTATCTTATCAAGACAATCAATTAAATCATTCTGAATATCAAGAGACTCCAGTAAACCGCCCTCCCCAGCAAGGTGGGTTTCAGCAAGCCTACCATGTAATTGCCTTTCAAAACAGAATCCATCTTGGCAAAACTTTCAAGTAGCTCTCTATAATATCCTCTATTCATGCTGCTACTAGATTCATCATGCCCCTAAATGCAAGCTCTTGCCTAGACAAGTATAAAACAGCTTCTGTTATGGTTTTCAACATTTCCCTGTTTTGCCTTACCTCCTCGTTATGACGCTGAATCTCTTCACGTCTAGCTTGTGACATGAGACAGTCGACACGAGGCTGAAAACCTTAGGTCTTCCAGGTCTTGTAAGCACCCATGTGCGATTTTGCCTTCTCATGCTTCTTACAATCGGATAGGAAATTCTTCATGTTTTTGAATCTCGTCTGCGTCCATGAAGATGACGATCCAGGGCAAAATAAAAAGACAAGGCCAACAGAACAATGCATTCTTTTCTGAGCTACCACAAAGCCAATCTTTCTTCGAGTACCAACTTTCCTGAAAGCTTCTATTGCCTGTAGTCGCTTGTAAATTTGGAATTGGCCGCTGCTTTACGAGTATATTTTGTTCGCCTGATTGTCGAACAGAAATGGTTTCTTTTGTAGTTCACCTATTATATCGATTTCATTAGCCGAAGCCATTGTAATGTAAGTTATCACGATTTCCGAACGTATACTTCGAAAGCTCAAAATCCAAGTCACGCTTTTTGAAAATGAGACCGACTAGATGCAGAGCCCTCTATTAGTAAGAGTTGGGACATCTATTGTTATCCGTTTAGCTTACGTTGATTGGGCAATATTGATCACCTGATCAATTTCCGCCATTTTGGTTCCTAGTTTTGAAATTTCAGGTAGTGTTTATATAGCAATTGTTGCTAGTAATACAGTATTTTGAGATAATATTGCGTTTTTTTATGGATAAGTTTGTAATAACTGATTGTTGACGGCTACTAAATGTCATTACATATCGCAAGAATCGAGGATTACGAAAAAAATGAAAGAAATGCCTTTACGTCGAACTTACGAAATTTGATTGCGTATGGTGATTGTTGTGCTGAACTGCTTTTGATAAAAGGTTCAATTAACTGAATCAAGTAGAGAAACATTTTTGGGCCAAATAACATTGCAAAGTTCGTGCTGATGCAGTTTCAATAGTTTCCTTACTCCAAAGCTTGTTTTTTAATCGAAGATGATTTCTTATTATGTTCTGAAATTGGTCAATCTACAAACCTCTCAATTCTCAGCCACTTCCACACTAAAACAACTACACCAAATCACAGAAACTCTTATGATTTTCCATGTTGTATTTTGTATTTTTAGTTCATAATTAAAAAATGAAGTAATTATAATTAGGATATTCACTTGAAACAGCTGAGTACAATATATTTTTGGTAATGAATTGTACAAATGTACCCTACTTCTGTAGCTCAAAGTAGAACATTACTTCTCTTCTAGACTTGTCGATGATATTTTAATTGTAGGTTTTGGTTTATAAGATGACAGAGGCATATCTCCATAATTTCAGCTATTTGGGCTTTTTAATGTATATTACAACTGTTGGTACCTTTCTCATATATATTAAAATATTGCTGGCTTTCTGATATATATTTAGGTGCTGCTAGCTTTTTGATATATATATTTCACTGGCAATACAAGGCATAGAATTTGAACAAACGGGGCTAAGCCCCCTCCAACACACCCCTGTTTGATCAATAAACACATACAGAAGTTTTGTCATTCCTCAACCAATAAATTTAACTCTTTGCTAAATTAAAGATTGGATCAGACTCATATGCTGTATAAAAGACTACAAACAGTAGCATTTATAGCAAACAGACTGTTCTTCAACAACAGAAATGTTTCATGTTATAGAAATAATATATTCATTTTAAAGAAATGCTTCACCAAATATTTCAGTAGAATCCTTAACAAACTTTATTAGAAATAAACTTTAATAATTTATAAAGTGCTAAAGGCGAAATAACTTCATATAAAGGAATAAAACGTTTAAGGCCAAATGCATCTTGGTCAAATCATTGCATAATCATTCAATAACTAAAAAGTAAAAAAGTCTGTCATTTTCTGCTGAGCAAGAAAATTTTGTGATCTTTCAGAATAAAAATCTCATGCTTGGATTAAATTGGGGCATAAACCACTCACTGCCATTAAATTGTTATAAATCTTGAACACAAATCTTTCCTGACCAAAACTGCATGATTACTATGATTCAAAGTTTCGAACAAAGTCTTGTCCAACTATTTGATAACACTGACGCCAGGATAGCATTGCCGCTTGCCACCAAGCTTAAAGATCTTGAAAACTTGTTACAGAGTCGGAACATAAGCCGAGAAAACACGTTCACGTACGAAAAATACTTCTTACAATGGGTCACGATCAATTTGAAGCACGAACTAGTAAACCGCAAACGAAGCTCAAACCAATGAAATTAAATCAGGTCTGCCGCAAATCGTTAAAAAAACGCAAAGAGCTTGCTATTATTCCTAATATATTTGATACTACCATGGAATAAGCTTAAATTGCCTTCTTCTTTTGCATATAAACCCAATTTCCAATAGTATTATTATAGTTTCACTTTGCAAGTAGGAACCAAAATGGCGGCTCCGCGCTCGCCCCAGACCGTTTGTCCCAACTCTTACTAATAGAGGCTCTGACTAGATGTTGTTAAACGTTTGAGAGTGTTCACAGCTACTCTCAACCAATCAGATTAGAGATATTCCCACTACAGATTTTACTACTTGGTCGGGCTGAATTTTCAGAGCCCGACTAGATGTTGCGAAACAGCGCATTTGAGTTTGCTCGGTTGTTGTCAACCAATCAGACTGCAGATAATTCCACTATAGATTTTACTACTTGGTGGGGGCTGAATTTTCAGAGCCGACTAAACTGCGTAATGCCTGGCACTAGAAATGCACTAGTCATTGTTGCTAAGTAACGCTTAAAAATATGATAATTTTGCTAATAACGACGCAATTTGACAAATATTACACTAATAGACTGTGGATTATTCCAAAAAGAGTCGCAGAATTTAAAATTTCCGCAAATCCAATTTTAAAGAAAACAAATTTTTCATTTATGGGAAAATATTTGGTCGGGCTAGGCCCGACCAGCCAGACCGCTAGCTACGCCACTGTTCCCATAAAAGTTAACTGAGTTGTATGTTAGAAATTATTGTTGGATTGTTTTGCGCAATTATCAGCATGGTGGTCAATTTCAAATGATTTTGAAGTGTTAACAAACGTTTTTAAATAGATTGCTCATTTTCCACCACCCCCCTCCTTTCCTTCACCCGGCATTGTGAAAAAAGAGGAGTCTGGTGTTAAAACCATTTCTCAATTGTAAACGAACAGTAAGCACTCCGTTCTCTTCAAACTTTGCACTTCGCATTTTCATACATGCATGCTGCGTCCGTACGTCAAACTCGATATCGAATTACACCCAATATGAGAGAGTTGAATACTCTGTTCAGGGTGCACCACAACGAAGTACATGATATTTTCGGATAATTCGGTAGTAAGGTCTGGTTGATTGCTGAAATTTTACAAGTGTATTATGTTTACCTCAAAAAAGTAGACTTGCGGTCTCCGCACGACTCATGCATCGATATGTTTGGACTGGATGAATCATAATAAACAATGTATTTCTTGATAAATGCAAAAATCATGTTGTTTGTGCTTATAATCCGAACTGTCGGTTTTGCCGAATTTTTATTATAAGTAAACGTATGCTTTCATGGATATGAGTGATTAAAAGTCCCTCAAACAGAGGGAAGTTTAATAAAAGTCCGTTGGCGCTGTCTGAGGGACTTTTAGCTACTAAATCTCTCATGGCGTAAGGGAACATTTAATCACTAATATTCCTTTAAAACAGTGGTTACTTTGTATCCACATGGTTGCTGAGGGAATAGTCAATGCATTAGACTGTTCAGTTTGACAATAGTTTCATCAAATTTTGAGCTAACTTATTTGAATATTGCAACCAATTAAATTGATGGTGTTTAAAGCGCACACTGTTCATGAATAAAGAAATCCCCATCTAGCTATTTGATTTTGAATTCCGTTTTTTAATTGGTTCGGGGAACCTGTGAATGAATTTGCTTTGCAAATACATATTGTATTTCATTGTTGAAGTTATTGATGGTTTATCACTGACTTTCCCAAGTAAGTGACAAGAAAGTTTCTGACGCGATGGAAAGATGATTTCTGTTAACGCTCAAAGACATAAATTTGAGGCACTAAGGCTTGTAATAACGCAAGTTTGGTGATTTTGAGCAATAGGGCAAAAGATTTTCTCGTGTCTTAATCTGAAAAATTAACAATGTAACAACAGTCGAGCAAGAGGAATTTTGACTTGGTAAACTTGCCCTCGAAGTATTGTGGTTTTAAAGGACTTGCAGAAGACATCAATTTCTGAAATTTTCTACATGACAAAAATAAAATGTGAAAACATGCGTATTTTTTTATTATTGATGAGGGATATTTAGTCTAAACGTCCCTAATGAATATATTGATGAGGGCATTTTGAATTAGCTTTGCATTTGGAGCTTGGTAGCCATTGCGAACATAAATCATTATTCGTTTGGCAAATAATGCAAGAAACTTGACATACCGTGCTTGTATTTAGTCCAGTTCATGACTTATACTAATTATATATCTCTGGACGATGTGAGGAAGGCAGTAAAAGCTCTTGACGAAATGCGAATGACGGTTAGGTTGTCAATTTATCAAATATATATATAATTTCATAAGCATATAAATGGATTATACTTTTGAACTATGATCACCGATCTACCTTATTTTGGTGGTTGATTTTGTAATGTTAGTTATCCTACTGAACTTCCTCAACCACTGCTCATCTGAACCTTTTAGATTTTTTCGTAGTTTTAACGGATGATAATGAAATGAAAACGAAACCTCATTTTCAAAAGAAAGTTGCAGGCTATACTTTGTACCCTATATCACTTGATCTAATTGAATACTCCTACCAATCTTACTTAATCACAATATTTGACTGACTATTTCGTTCGTTTGATTTTCTAACGAGCATTTTATTTTTTATCATATTGATATTTACGAGGATTTTTCTAGGTGCGACTGGATTTTTCATAAAACATGTTGATACAGGAAAGTGTATTTATGACGTTGGAAAAATTATGTTAACATATCAACATGGAAGTCAACTTTCTAGAGAAAGAAGCCAGCGTTTTGTGGAAATTTCAGACAATTGTTTTGATCAAGCATCTCAGTTGAACTTTCGAGACACTGGCGCAATATTGAAAATAAATATACCAGGTTGCCTTCAAGCCGTGGACAGATGGGTAAATATTGAGGGTACTCTTCATTTGTTAGTTATTCACTCTGATAAGCAAAACATTATTGGCGATCTTTGTTCTGACAACAACGCTGTAACCCAAACCTCTTGGGGAGGATTAACACTTAAGTTTTGGAGAACAAACCAATTGCTATGTTTAGTACCTGCTACATCTAATGAATTTAAAAACAAGTATGGAGTTGATCCGTATTTGAAAACAACAGATTGTAATGAAGGAACAGAAAAACGATTTCATTTTGGTAAGTTTTTTTATTTAAATTGATATGTAGAAGCATATCATAGTTATGATATTGTGTTTCTGCTTTATGTGTTATTAATACAGAAAGTGAAGTCAGGTGTAATTCATAATTTAAAAATTTTCGTAAAAATAGCTACTGAATGGTCAAATTAATGACATATAGTTCTTAAATGAACTGCTAAAACCAGAACACAAAAGTGAAAGTGATCTCTAAGAATTATGTGTTTTAGCTGACATGTTAGGAATTTCTAAGAGAGGAGGAGTTTCATTTATTCAGGCCTCGTTTACATTATACCGGATTGTATCGTTGCAGGTTGAATATTCTTTGTATTAAAAGGCAGTGAAATTGTTCAACGTCAGAAACACAATCAAATAGACTAAATCTATCAGCTTAATAAGCTTTTACTCCAAACAGTTAACCCTTTAAAGCAAATGAAGATATCGTGATGAGCGAATCCGGTATAGTGTAAACGCAGCATCATTTGATCTGTATATTAAATTTATTTAGTTTAACTTAACTATTTAATTCATCTAATTTAATTTAATTAGTTTAATTATTCTAAATTTATCCATTTTATTAATTTAATATAATTTATCCTTGTTTTGTATTTCATCTACTAATTTAGAGATGACGTTAACTTTTTCTTACCATTATATACATCGTGTTATTTTATATTCTCATTTAGCAAAGCTTGACACGTGATGATTTCAGCTTTAAAAACACTCCTCCTTGAATTGTTTGATTTGTGTTCTGGTTTTAAACAGTTCTTTTAAGAACTATTACGTTAGTATTTTGACCATTCACTGTGAAATTTTTATAGCACGACCAAACGTGCAAGCTGGGTACCATAATAACATGCTAGGAATATTTTTAACTGTGATAGAAGCGGTGGATTTTTGTTTTTCACGTTAGCTCTAATTAGAGAGTCATCGTGTATTACAATTAGCCAATACATTACTACGTTCAACCGAGGACATTGTATTTGAAACATTGTTTCACTTGTCGTAGCTTGTATTTCAATGGATATTTGAAACAGCGTTTGAACAACAAGAGTAACTAATACATGGAAATATAAGCTCTAGGTCTAGTTATATTTGATCATGGAAAAGAACATACTTGTTTGAGGACTGTTGCTATGGTATGTATAGTTAGACATGGAAAATGGAGATGGAGAATAATATTTTTCAGCTTTTACGGATTTTACAGATAAACGCGTGCCGATAGTTTTTTTTTACTATAGGGTCAGTGGCATGTACTGGACAAAAGATAGCGAACGCTAGTTGTTCTAAAAATCAATATATGGTAATAAAAGTGGCTGAATATCGTGGATTGAGTAACGGAAGCTCTTGTGGCTCAAGTTATGATTACAGTTGTAGTGTTAATGTCACATGCGACCTTAAAAATTATTGTGATGGTGAAACAGAATGTACGATAACTGTTGATGATAATCATTTTCCTTCTAATATTTGTCCTGGTTTGGAGAAATATCTTTACTTTGAATATCAATGTAACGACACAAGTATGCCATACAGAAAAATTGGTCATCGTAAGTATTATAAAAGCAGATGAAATTTTGCTTTCTAATTTCCTTTCATCGTATGGCAAATATTTTTACACTATGTACATAATCAACTTTGAAAATTTTATTATTATGATTTTGTAGTACCTGATGGTCCTCCTTTGAATGTCACAATCTACGCAATCGGCAATACATCATTGTTTGTCACGTGGAAGCCACCTGATGTAACCAAAAGGAACGGAAAGATAGTCAGTTACACTGTTTGTATTAAACAATGTGGGGGTGACACATGTTCAAAAACCTATACTACTGAGGAACAACATTTGGAAATAAATCATTTAAAACCAGCGACAAAATATTGTGTACGCGTTTTAGCGTCTACGAAAGTGGGTCCTGGAATTTACAGCAAATTGAAGTGGACGTTCTCAAACGGACGTGAGTTATCAAAATAAAATAAGCACTTATAAGGTAATATATTATTTTTTCATCTTTAATTTTAGTTGCACCGGAACAGCCCAGAATTCAGACAGCGTATTCACTGACTTATTTGTTGCGAATCCCCTCAATGAAATATCAGTAAGTACTTTCAAAAAATCTTCTCCCGGCCATAAACAAGAACAGTTACAAGATCCTTTGAGCATTGACGTGGTGTGAACAATTTTCTGTTGTGACGTGTGGCGGAAGGGGGAAGTCTATTTCGACTCAGAATGCGTCCCCGAGATCTAAAACTTTATAAACGAGGTGTTGATTAAGGCCCAAGCCAAAATTTTTTTAATGAAGCAGCTCTAAATTACCATTTCTTTACGGGATGAAGTAGTAAAACTGCAGTATTTCAAAAGCGTTTTTCCAACCTAAAATCAAACTTTAACACCCCATATTCACTTCTGCACCCCATATAAATAGAAGGGTCATTTATAGCCTATGCTGAAAATGCTTTAGAGTTTCAACGTACTTCACTTCAAAAATCACATCATGCGTAGAAACAAGACATTTTCTCGCATGTCAAAAAAAGTGTTCTGTTCTGGTGAATATATGAATTGAGATCTTATTAGAAATTGCTGTTGCTATTCATCACCATCTCATCTTGTAGTAATGTCGATCATTTGGTTTATACTCTTTTACTGTCCCGTGCGTATATATTTTTTTCTATAGCTTTAAGTGCAAAAACTCAGACTCTTTGAAGGCTTTCCTCAAGAACTCTAGGAGTGGTGCTGTATTGCTGGCTTACGTAACCCAGCCTTGTGAAATAGGTTCCGAAAAGCCTGCCACACATTCTTTGCCGGCATATTACGTCTGTTACTGGATTTGAAGATACAGCTATATGCAATAAGAGTTGCGATATACGTCAAACATTTAGGAAACCAATCAGATGTAATTTCTCACCAGGTGGTAGTTTTTTTAACTACCTCAGATCTTTCATAAAGTTAAATCATCAAATATGAACATCTGCTTTTACCTATCACGGTGTGAATAGCCACACATTGAGCAATTTGCTAAACCCTGTTGTTTGTAAATATCTGAGGCTATTGACTGCATTTGTAATAGCATTTTTATTTTATTAAGCTCAGAGTGTTCGCAAACTTGTTCAATCCTATTTTTCAAGTTTCAATTATGGGTTCAGTAACTCATAAAGACAATATTATGTCAAATTGTTGTAGTATGTGATGTTTTACAAAGTTGTGTTTTGTTTCTTTTTCTTACATGATTTTTATCAGACAAAACGTAAAATTAGTTTGTCAACAGCGAAGATACTTGGATACAGAGCATACAAGAATCATTTGAAAGTTTGTCGTCGTTAACTTGTTATAGACTAAATTGTTGCCAAACAAGTTAATGCAAATGCGATTTCAAGCAGAGAATTGGATGTACATTGTTGTGAAAAGAATTCCCTCTGGAAAAACTGTCAAATCAAATTACTACTAAAATACAGCTTTACTGCTAAAGTCAAAGTCATACTTCAAAATTTAATACACGATATATTTAAATGTTACTTCACTCTTGGCATTTACGTCAAAAATTATACTTCTCTGCGAAAGAAGCCCAACATTTTATTTCAGTTTTTTCACTTTAAATGAAAATAAGTCTGTGCATTGCACTTATAAAAATTCCTCATACTTCTCATAGTTTGGCATTCATATTTATACTCTAGTTTGACGTACATAATGGTGACTTGCCAAGCGTTCGCTTTTTAACGAAACATAGCTCCCATTTAATGTTTGTAATTATTACAAAACTTAAAGGTATCATCTGCAGTTTTGGCAAAGATTCGTACAACCAATTGTAATTTTGCGTTTTAAGATAAGCAATATATTATTTGCACATTCTTTTTTTCATTTACAGATATTTTTATGTGGTAGCAATGGAGCATGACAAAAAAGAAAGTCGGTTGCCTTCAGAATTCAAAATGATGACTTAGTGAGTTACTCTGAGGCCATATCATCCGCACAACCAAAGCCTTATATTGCTGCAGTAATTTTCCCATTAGAAAAACACGTCATTGTTCACACTCGGTGATGTTGCAAACACAGTTGTTATAAGAAGACGCCGCTCTGATGGTAGAAAACACCAAAATGGCCCTCTGAAGCCAGGCACTAGTTACAAAATTTTCCAGCGAGTTTTCGTAGATGATCAGGTAAGCAGTGAGATCAATCTTTGTCAAATTTTACGTGCAATGTTATCAGCACTTTTTTTAATTCATTATAAGTATTTACTTCGTTTCAGGTTTCTTTTTATTCTACTGACTGGAGTCCTCCAGCAAAAACACTAGAAAACGCAGGTATAGGGCTTTTTGTTAAACTCACTGTAACGGGCCATTCAATTGTCTATATACCTCTGCTCATGTGACATAAACGATTTTCACAATTACGCAATTCTTGTGGAATACTTATATGGCAACCATTTGTAAAGTAGATCACAGCTGTGTTTTGTGCATTGCTTTGTTTAATGTCTGTCAATTTGTTTTCACTTGTCTTACTTATGTGTCATTCATGTATTTACTTGTCTTGTACTTAATTTTATGTCATTCATGCCTTCAATTCTCTTGTTTTTAGTATTATATCAATTATGTCTTGGGAAGATAACATTGGTTTTGGTCTGAATAATTCTTGAAATCATGCTCTGTCTTGTTATTCTTATGTCATTTGTAATCACTTGTCTTATGTTATTTATTTCTTATTTGTTTTATAAAACTTTAAACTTTGAAATTGACTTTTTATTACGTTCCACTGGTGATAAGTCTTTTTGTCCTAAATTTTTTACTTTAATAACGGCGCCTCTATGTTTTTCCACTGTTTTAGACATCCCAGCCACGACAAAATGGTACATCATTTTGGTTGCCGTCATTTCAGGAATCATTCTCATCATTGTTTTCTGTTCAATTATTCTACTTTATCGTCGACGTTTTGTATTGAACAACAAAAATAAACAAAATGAACAACTTCAGTCCCCTGGAATAGAGAGCACAGACGTAAACAATGGAGCCTATGAAGAAATGAAGTTATCTGACATATCTAAAAGAAACGATAATGAGGCTTTGACAGATCGCGATGACTCAAATTATCAAGAATTAGACGTACCAAAAATGGACAGGGAAGAAAATTATCAGTCTTTAATGGATATGCCTTACGTCAATATCAAAGATAAAACGTATCAAGACTGAAGAAAGTTCACATATGTACCATTTCTCATGTAATGAATGAAAAATAATAAAAGTGAACTTTTATATGGCATGTAACTTATGTTAAGTGTCAAAGACATGTATCACCAGCTTTAAAATTAGCGAAGGTCTCATGTTTCCACTGTTCTAAAAAGCCTTCTTTTCGCTATGCTAACTGCACAAATTGCTCTCTTTTTTTTAATCTCTTCACTGTTTATAGAAGCGATAGAGTTAATGAACAATCAGCTTTGTCAAACATGAATTAAGAAATGATAATGAGTCATTAACAGTAACTGCTAATGCAAGGTATTAAGAAATGAATACAGAAGATGATTATCAATCTTTAATGGAGGATGATAACGATTTGTCTTATGTAAATGTGAAAAAATTGATGACAATAAATGGTGAAATGCATTAGATAGATACACTATCAACAATGAAATGAGATGAGGAAGGAAAGTGAAATGACAAAGAATGGATTAACATGAGAGAATTTTTTAGTTTATAGTGTATCAAAAACAATGATTTTTGCTAATTCGTTTACGATATTCATTCTATGGTGTGAAGCTCAACAGAATCTGAGGAATTTATTAATTACATATGTAATGAAGATGTATTAAAAGATGCTTTTAAAAGAACAAGAAAAAAACTTTCTAACTAAGGCTTGCTCATACACAAAGCATTAAAAAGGATGGTTGGACCCGGGAGTATCGTTATTCATTAGATGTCTGTTGATATAGATCGTCCAGATTAATAAAGTCATGAGAAGGACTGTTGGTGTTGATTTTGACTGACGTTTAAAACCTTAGCGATGAAGGCGACTACCGCTAAGGTTGTCAAAACGTCAGTCAACATCAACACCAACAGTTCTTCTCATGACTTTCCTTGCCTAGACGATCTACATCTAAAAACACAGCTACGTATACACTTTTCATATGCTGACCGGATTTTTCAATACTTCTACAAAACAATATGTTATTTGCGTATATTAAAATTAGCTAGAGTCTACTATATGCCATATTCAGCAGCGTAGCCTGCTTGACTTTTTTACTTTCGCTTTGTGAATATTTTATTGTTCATTGAACGTGAGAACAATGTAATTTATAGTTTAGTACAATTTATAACATGCATACCTACATAAATTAATATGAGTTCCCCAAATATCAATTCTGTTATAGCCTTGATTTCTAATCGAAGGAAATGAGACCTTTAGCAATTTAGGGGCTCCAGTCGTCTTTACAGAATCCAACACAACAACCCTCTGGCCTAAAAAATTATGACGAAGAAGGTTTTGAAGAAAACAGACATAACTGTATTGAAAGATTTCAGCATTCTAAAGTTTTTTGAATCTTATTACTGCATGAGAACTGTTTTGACTCAGAGCACAGTTTAAATTTGTACAGCCTAGCTCCATAATAAAACCTAATAGACCAGGCTGTCTTGTGGGAGAAGACACAGTAAGAGACTAATCGGGGATATACCAGAACAAAAAGGACCTTGCCACGCCAAACTGTTAATGGTGAACTATTAATTTCACGCTTTAATAAATGTGTAGTACCTCCTGGACTTATAAAACCTCATTCCTACGTGGGAATAGACGATTGTAAACATGAAGATAATCAGCAATTTAATTTTGGTTAGTACGAATTTTTACACAGTTCGCATATATTGTTAAAATACAACTAAACGCCTGTAATTAGCGTTCATGTAAACATATATATGCTTTTTGTTGGTGACATTTATTTATACATTTATTTTATAGTTTACCAGTTGATGTTTGCAAGCTCCCGTGAATGGTATGAAATTGTGTAGTTTTGCAGGTTCACTTAAAGTCACGGTAAACTTTTTCATTTCTTTTTTTCAGGTACCCTTTGAATTTATCTTAAAACATGCGAACTTACATGAAGTACATCATGTCATTGGGTCCATTAGTCACTGTGGATACGGTGGATACCAAATCATTCCAACTAACGTAGAAAAATTTTAAAAGCTTTACTTCCTGTTTTGTAGTTATGAATGTGGAATGCTCTGTAACACGCATTATTCATTTTTATGAATCATTATAATTCAAAAAGAGTCTGAATGTCACAATGTGTTTAATTGCTGAGAAATTCTTTAAAAAGTGCTTAAAAAATAGAGAGAATAAAATACAACTTTATTAATGTTTTTGTGATTTCAACCTTTTTGTCTACTTTTGTGTCCTCCTTTGTGTCTTTCTTTTTTTCTACGATTTGCCAACTTTTTTGTCTCTATTTGTGTCTCTCTTTTTGTCTGCCTTTGTGTCCATCATTTTCTTCATCTGTTTTTCTACCATATTGTCTGCTTTTGTGCGTGCTTTTAAGTATACCTTTATTTGTTTTCTGTTGAACTCTTTATTTACCTTTGTGTCTACTTTTGTGTCTGCCTTTGTGTCTTCCATTTTATCAACCTTTTTCTCCATCAATGTGTCAACATTTATGTTTATCTGTTTGTTCTTCCTTTGTGTCTTTATCATTTTCTCTTTGATCGAGGTGGTTTGTGAATTGCGATCTCATTAATTAATCATCGAGATGAGTACCTCATAATAATAATAATGAATGTCTGTATAATTTCGCACACCCATCATCTTTCCTTTGTTTTTGGAAGTCTTCTCTATGTATTCAGGTTCTTGTAAAACTGGTTGAGCTCATCAATGTTCAGTTGCCGTTCAAAACACGTATCGCTATTTCACAACAATTATCCAACACTTTTCCCAACACTTTTACACACATTTTGAGACAATTGTATTTATTTAGCTGCGCCTTCGATATGTTTAAAATTTTGTTGACATGATCAAGAGCCTCTCAAACAGGCTTTCACAGCTGTAAAATATCTTGTAAGAACATGTTCAAACAATTTGTCAAGCAGACTGAAGCAGTAAACATGAATGGTGGCAGCCTGAAGAACTCAGGCTTCTTAAACTTGCCCCCACTTTCGACACCCTTGTGTTAATATGAAATACGTTGATCAAAAGGATATTCAATTCACACAGACTGATGTTTACTAATTTGAACTAGCAACTGCAAGATGGATTAAGTTTCAAAATGAACACAATCGTCACAAAATGACTACACCCACGTGATTTTCCCTACACTATGCTTGACACTGCTAGAACATAGCACTTGTAGAACACTTCTAAACTGAGTGGATACTCGCTATAAATTATGGTAAAAGTAGAATACGATTTTAAATCTACTTTGTAAAGAGCAATGATATTTACTAATATTCATCTGTACCAATAATATTTAGAGGTTTGTGTTCGCGATACCAACAGTGCGGCCATGGTTATCGTCTCCAATAGCTGCTAATATGGTAATTTATTCTTTTATAGACGTCACACTGATCATTGACCGTTTGACCTCACTTTAAAACATCCGCTTTTACAAGATATATGCATGGCCAGGAAGCTTGTATTTTCATTTTTTTCATGATGACTTCGACATTCTTTACTTCCGCGTATGAGTCAGCGTTCTTGTAAATGCAGAACATCGTCTGACGGCCTATTTTGGTTGATACATGTCCTGAAAGCTGAAATACTACAAGGCCATGAAATTCAAAGGATTCTGGTTCTCGATGCTGGTATATAAGTAATATAACTTCGCTTTTCTCTTACAAGGTAAGAGCTTGCCATTGTTTGCTTTTGAAATCAAGGTATGCCCTTCGGGTTTTTAAATTTCATTGAAAATGAGATGGTTGTTTTTCTTGTATGTCGATAAATTTTCGAAAGACATTTCTTGCTGACCATGTTTTAATCTATAATTATCGAAATTTAATACGATGATGATAAAGAATGATAACATCGCTATGTGTTGATTTAATCTTTTATCGCTTTGTTTGGGTTTTTTGTTTACACTTTCATTACAATTGTGTTTACACAATGTGTGCATGTCTTGTAAGGAAGTCATACCTCCTGCCTTTTTCGTAAAACAAATCAGACACGCGCAGTCTGTGTAGGTATTGTATATTTTATAACTGGGTTTTGTGGGCTGCAATTTGTCGTAGTTAATGTATTCTTCTCAATTATACGACAATTACAATTTTACTGTGAAGTTTTGTATTAGAAAATTCGAAAAATTATTATAAATCTGTATATAAGTTTAAAGATTGGTAATCCAGGCATTACATTGTTTAAAAATAAAAGTTTCTCCGGATTTTATAAATAATTTTATTGAGCTTTGGACTTGGTGCTTCTAGCCTTCATCAGGTCAGCACCGAAGCACCTAGTCGAAAGCTCAATAAAATTATTTATAAAAATCTGGAGAAACTTTTATTTTTAAACAAATCTGTATATGTATAATTTCACAAATCCTTTAGAAATTTAAATTAAGTATCAATAGCTTCATGTATACAAGTTTCACTATGGTTTTTTTTGGCAAAGTTAGAACTTGTTTACAAGATGTGCTATACTAGTCTATGATACCATACTTCTTGTGTGGGTGTATGCATTATAGAAGAAAAATTTGCTCCAGATTATGTCACATCCTTTTGAACTGCTGCATAAATTATACTGCTTCATACAAAATCAGGGGCATCGGAAGGAACATAAAATGGGTGGGCGGGGGGTTGACATTTCAGAAATTATGAGTACCAATGTCTGCAACATGTTGTCAAGTAGTCGCCATTTTTAATTTTAGCAATGCCTGTCGTCTAATCACTAACATAATAAACTAATGAAAAAAAATTGCAAAAGACTCCTACATGATTCTTTAGTGTCCACTCACTGCTCTGTAGATATGTATGTTTTATAGTCAAAATAGACTATTAATAAACATTCTCTTTCATGGTAATTTTGCTATTTCAATACAAAGGGGGGGCACTGCCTCCCTTCTGAGAAAAGTGCAGGGGCTTTACCCCCCTGGTGCCCCTATACAAAATTTAATTCACTTTGTGATTCAATTCACAAATATCTCATTCGAAATGCTATTGCAAAATGAGTTGTATAACTACAGCTTAGTCGCCTCAGTAGTGTATCTTTTGCATATTTTGCTTGTATTTTGGTGAAGTTCCTTCTAGCAAAAAGATTATGAATTTTATAAAAGGTAATTTTAGAACAGAGTTCTTGTCAGGTCAAATAATCAATATTATCTTCACAGACTCATATTGCATAGACAAGTATTATGGTTTATATGACGTAGGCCATATAAGTACCCATTACATCAAAGAATTGCAGAATGAAGGACTCGACAAGTAAACATCTTATCTTGAAAGAAGTCAACCGTTGTGTATAAATATATATAATATATTAATCCTAACACAGTTTTAATAATCGTAAGACGGTTGTGTATAAATATGATTCAAATGTATCTGTACAGATTCCCTGACTTGTAGTGAGTATAATGGGCTGTAGAAAGTGTGGTAAAGGGCTTCAACCCCACCTCCAATAATTAGGATGGAGTGGCTTAGCCCCTACTCCAATGTTCATTGCTACTGAAGAGCTTTTCATTATTTTCCTTGAAATGAGTCACTGTTGAATTAAATTTTTCTAAAGGTCAGAAGGCCACGCCCTGGTTCAACCTTTCAACTTACGTGCTCAACCACCCACCCCCTGAATACAAAGCACATACTTATTTTAGATTTTTTGAATTTATAGTTTTACATGTGCTTTGTTGTTGGCAAAATTTATTTGTTTATCTCTTGTTCATCTATGGCTTATTAAAGCACCTTACAGACGAACAAACTTTCTATGACAAATAGTTGCTATCCCGTGTCTACGGGCAACGAACTTTTTACGTCAAATTTTTAGGTGGCGAATTTTCTTTGATCGTCTGTACGTATCAACATATCAGATTTGGTTGATTTGTCATATTATCTTTGTAGACCTTACAGAGGAAGAAAATCAGTTATATGGCAAATTTTTTACGGCAAATGCATTTATTCAAAAGCTGACACGCTAGCGTTTGAACAAATCCATTTGTCAAAGAAAACTTTGCTACAAAGTCCCATACAGACGGGAAAAAGACGTTTGCCACATATAAATTTGTGAAAAAAAGTTTTCTCGTCCGTAAGCGGCCGTTATTGATATTTGTAAACTATAACTTCTTGAAATAGTAGAATTTTTGAAAAAGTTTTGTTCAGTCATATTCTATGTGGGGACTTCTTTTTTCTCAGGTACTGCTGGATTTTTCTTGAAACATGTTGAAACAGGAAAGTGTATTTATGATACAAAGATAGTACAGTCAAGATATCCACCACCAACTGGGGGAGAAAGGACACTTCACTTCTTGGAGCTTTCCGACAACTGTCTTCATCCAGCATCTCAGTTCAAATTTCTAAATAATGATGCCTTATTGAAGTTGAACGTACCAGGTTGTCTTCAGGGAGTTTATAAGGCAGGAAATAGTTACTATCTTGATATGCTATATATCCACACTGATACACACAACATTAATGACGTTGCTTGTGTCAACAACAATGCTGTAACCCAAACCTCTTGGGGAGGTCTAGCAACGCGGTACGACCGCGCTGGATATCAATTTCGATGTTTAAGACCTCGTACTTCTAAAGAACTAAAAGACATTCAAGGAGTTGATCCTTATTTGAAAATGGCTAGTTGTAAATTTACACCTAAAAAGCAATTTCATTTCGGTAAGGGTTATTTAGTTCTTAATTCATATTTCGGTCCACCAAAATTTAAAACACATGAAAATATTTTAAATATTCACAAGTTATTAAAAAACATGGTAAATCAGCTACGGAAAACATGGTAAATCAGCTCAGCACACAAGAAACGTATTCAAAAAGAAGGAACTTCATTAAATAAAAATAATTTTTATTGGTACACCAACATGTCGGCCATGATGTCAGGTGACAATGTTCTATAGACTTGTTTTTCTTGTGATTTAATTAATACAATAGAAGATTACGATCTTCTATAGTGTTTCTAATGCAGTTTCGATTGACTGGCGAAAACCAGTTTACTACGGGTGCTTTAGCATTACGGTACGAAAGGGCTGGAAATAAATTGCGCTGTTTAAAACCTGCTAAACATAATTCACCGAGAATCCAACAAAGAATTGATCCATACCTTAAGAATGGCGTCTTGTCAAGATGAAAAAAACAAGAAAGTTCATTTTGGTAGGAAATATGTCAAAAATATTTCACTGTTTCTATTTTAAAATTTGAAGTGTTTGTGTACTGTTTATGGATTTAGGTTACTTTAACAGTTTGGACGATTTTAAACACTTTTGCAATATATTTTATAGTTAAAAAAATTCAGCTTTGCGGGTTTTCGGCACTCTTAGTTGGTGATTTTCAGTATTTTTAACGTTTGACCACAGTATGAGAAAACTGACATCAAATCGGGAACTCCATTGTGAAGGTTGCACTATATTTTATATAGGATCGTGTAGAAAACGGCCTATATAAGCAGATTTTTTTTGTAATATATTGTTTTATAATGTATAAGCAAATGAAAACAAAATACGATGTGAAATGACACAAGAAAGCTGTTATAGTGTTTTCTAAACGCGTGTTCCCGATTTGATGGCAGATCGGGACTTTCTTTCTTAGTTTTTTTAGTCACAGCCAAGCAAAAAATAATGAACTTTGAGCGAGAAAAAATCCTGGTACATGAAATTTTTGACAAATAAATTATGTTCCAAAAATGTTCAAAATCATCTGAACTATCTAAAAAGCCCGATATGAAAAACAGGACATTGGCACTTTAAGCTAAGTATGATGCAGCGCTTTATAAAGTTACTGTGATAAAGTGCACAGCTAGTTACCTTCTGACCACTCTTCTGAGAATTTTCGTGTGCCTGCCACTGTCCAATGGCACTGTCTAATTCAATTTGTACCATTATGCCACTGAGTGTAGCTATAAGTCCGTCTGTGTATGAGCCCACTTGCATGCAAGCCCATACACAAGCCCGAAGACCAGGGTCCTAACTAAAACTATTTTATTGTCGACATCAAGACTAGCACTGGGGGTGTGCACCCCAGTGCATGCTAAAGCGACTTATATGGAGTGATGGGTTTTATTATCACAACATTTATGACATGAAAACTACTGTGTAGATAACAACAGTATAATATAGTCCATACATCGCCCCCCATGTGTTTAACGCTCAGTGTATAAGCTCGTGAAAAGGGCTTACTGACTTATATAAGCCCTGTTTTTTTGACCATTTATGACTTGTTAATGTAGTGTTGTAGACATGCAACTATTAAATTAATTAGCATTTTGTACATATTTTGTGTTTTCAATAGGTTCCGTGACTTGCGCTCGACAAAAAATAATGTACGCCAGCTGTCGTAAAGGACAATATATGGTAGTAAAGACTGCAGAATATCGTGGATTGAACCAAGGAAATGTTTGTGGTTCAAGTTACTATTACAACTGTAGTGTTGATGTTACATGTCGTCTAAAAAGACTTTGTGATGGCAAACGAGAATGTAATGTAACTGTCGATGATAACCTTTTCTCTTCAAAAAGTTGTCCTGGTTTGGACAAATATCTTTGCTTTGAATATCAATGTAACTCTACCATGACGTCATTCAATGAAATTTGCAGTAAGTAATGTGGAGATGTAAACGTGCTTTTGATTGATTTGATGAACTGAATATGTAGTTATACTTCAATGTCTGCCGGACTAAGATCACTAAGGAGAATATTCATGTTCATCAACTTGTTATGTTCATCAACTAATTATCTTTTACGATTTTTTATAGTTGAAGATATGCAGTTATCACAGTCGACATTACCCAGCGAAGGTTTTGTGAAACTTTTTTACCAAAGATGATGGGGAATTCGCCGTCTGTAAAAGTTCCTTGGAAAATGTCAAAGATAATGTTTGTCGTTTTCTTGCCTACCCTAAAGCCGATCAAATAAGGGGGCAGACTTCCGGTAGTTCAATGTCTAAAGCTGGAGAAGTAAACTGCAGAGCTACTGTGGCACCTTCATTTCTATGTACGGTTACACCAAGTAGTGGCTGTTCCGAGTATTCAATTTTAAAATGTAAGTTTCGGGAAAAAAATAAAGCTTGATATTTCAATATTTTTTTAGGATAAAATATACTCATTTAATAAAAACGACAAGATTTTTTAAAATAAACATGTTTCAACATCTCATGATGCCATCTTCAGTATAATAAGGAGTATTATGTATGTGATAAATGTATATGAGAGTAATATGATACTGTGATACAATTTATACACTTATGAATAGATTATTATATTACAATGAAATAGTGGTTAGAATTAATGATGAAAGTATTTACAGGCTGAATATAGTGTTAAAACGAAAAACTTGAACGTTTAGATTATGGTTTGTGTTGTTAATGTGAAGGGCTTCTTTGATTTTGAGTGCGAATGCAGTATGTGCAGTGTCGATGATTTTAAAGCAAGAGGGTGAATAGTTAGTTTTGCATGAAGGTGATTTTAAAAGGTGTCGAAAGATATGTGAGTTTTTGTCAGTTGTGGTGTGATCCCTGATTCTGGAGGATAAATGACGGGAAGTTTCGCCAATATATCGGGAATTACATCCCACACAATCGAATTGGTACACCACCATAAATTTAATAGAATCAGGGATATGATCTTGGAATGAGAAGTAGTTTTTGATTTTGAAAGAAGTGAAAATTAGTCGGATTTTAATGTCAGTGCAGAAGCATTTGATGATGTTTGTAAGTCTGTGTTGTGTGAGTCGTGAATGATGTCCGATGTACGGTAGTTTAAAGTAAAGAGTTTTTATGGACTGTTCGATGTTGTTGGTCGTGATTGTTATGTCGGATGTTTTGGTGTTTGCTTTGCAGTTAGTATTAGTTTTTTCATGGAGATATCGTTTGATAGTTTTGTTGATGAAGTGTATTGGCAAAGAGTTGCGTAATAAAATAGATGTGATGTTCTTAAGGTCTTGTAGAAAGTCATTGTCGGTGTTGTTAATTTTGTATGCTCTGTCTACAAGTGTGCGTATTAATTCAGTCTTGTATGAAAGTTGTGTGAAACTGAAGTAGTTCGTCAATAGTCACGTGTAGGTTGGTTTATGATACGTCGACGTTGTATAGGTGTCATGTGATTTTGTTAATGAAATGTCTAGAAAATGTAGTAGGTTTTGTTATTCAGTTTCGAAAGAAAATTTAATGTTCGTTTGTTGTTTGTTGATATAACTAGTTACAGTAGTTACTAGTTACACCAGAATCAAGGAACACACCACAACTGACAAAAACTCACATATCTTTCGACACTTTTTAAAATCACCTTCATGCAAAACTAACTATTCACCCTCTTGCTTTAAAATCATCGACACTGCAGATACTACATTCGCACTCAAAATCAAAGAAGCACTTCACATTAACAAAACTAACCCTAATCTCAACGTTCAAGTTTTTCGTTTTAACACTATATTCAGCCTGTAAATACTTTCATCATTAAGTCTAACCATTATTTCATTGTAATATAATAATCTATTCATAAGTGTATAAATTGTGTCTCAGTATGGCATCACGAGATGTTGAAACATGTTTATTTTGATGAAGAGTCATTTTGACTCTGAAGATGACTACCGCTAAGGAAACGCCACTCAACAACAACAACTTTCTCAGGACTATACCAACCTGGACGATCTACATTACAAACATGTAACGATACTCCCGGGTTCAAACCATCTACTCAATAAATATTTTGTCGCCTCAGGTCATGTTTGTGATGATCCGCTCTTACAAAACACACAGAAGTTCCCGGACTCTTTGTTTGCTGCCTCGACCCAGGACCATAGTGCAAAAGCTGCAAGAATATCCAGTGGCAGTTCGTGGTGTGCTCCTGCTGCTGATGGCAATCATTATCTTCAACTGAATTTCCCAAGTCTTTATAGAGTTAACGCTATCGCAATCTTTGGAGACAGTTCAAGTTTAAGCTTTATAACTGAATATCATTTGCTTACAAACATTGACGGTGTTAATTGGAACTCTGAAAAATACCAAAAGGTAACAAAAAACTTTTCTAATTATATTTTGTTGAACCATACCAGTATTCTATAGCAAATGCTTTAATTTTACTGGCTAGTCTAGTCAAAAATAGTAAATATAGTAAAGCGATAGATAGTAAATTGCGAAAAACATAGCTGCCTACATTGCCATCTCGCGTTTTACTTAGGCTTCTGACAATAAAGGTGATTGTTTATTTCAGAAAGCAATTCTAGAGAGGACTAAAGTTTCCACTCGATACAACATCGAGATTTTGTAGCGTAAAAATTAACAAAATTTAATTGAAATAAATAAACGTGCATTCAGGAAGAGTCGTTTACTTTTCAATGCGAACATTGAAAACTACAGCAAACGCAATAAAACTTTAAAAAATTAAGGAAAACTATTACAACCTTTTTCTTTATGAATACTAGTATGAAGTAAGTGGTTTTAACTCGGGAGTATTTCGATGTAGATCGTCCAGGTTAGTAGAGTCAAGAGAAGGACTGTTGGTTTTGATGTTGACTGACGTTATGACGTCCTTAGCGGTAGTTATCTTCGATTTACTTTTATTCTTTTTTATAAGAATTCTGCTGTCTCCAAATTTCGTTTTGGTAACTTTACTAATTAATCATCGGCTGAAACAATATTGTAACTTTAACAATCAGTTTGTGGTTATATGAACTAACAGATTCTTTCCTCGCGATTTATCTTCAAGTTTAAATTGCAGTTTGTGGCTTTGAAAAGATATTCAGAAGATCCATAAGCCACTATTAAACAAACCCGACTTTTCTCTAACTTTCTAAATTATTTTCATATGTCATTATTTTCTGAAAGAATTTTTTATGCAGTGCGGTGTTTGAAATTAAATTTAGATATAATTTTCGCACTTTGTTGGACAATTAAGCAATTGTCTCATGAACATGAAAAATTCAGGTGACGCAACGGGATTCGAACCCATGATCTCTGCGGTGCCGGTGCAGTGCTCTGACCAACTGAGCTATGAAGTCACACAGTGGTGAGCAGGTCAATTTTGTTGGGCTCATGTTTTCTCGTGAAAGGAATGTCATATGAAGAATGTTTTATGCAGTCTAACAAACATGTTTCACTGTGTCACTTCATAGCTCAGTTGGTCAGAGCACTGCACCGGCACCGCTGAGGTTATGAGTTCGAATCCCGTTGAGTCACCTGAATTTTTCAGGTTCATGAGACAATTGCTTAAATTGTCCAACAAAGTGCGAAGATCATATCTAAATTTATTCATTATTTTCTCTTGTTTCAGATTATACAACGAAATTGGAATGGTTACAATGATGTAGCTATAGATAAATTCTCTCGTGGCATTAAAGCCAAAAGTTTACGAATAGTTCCGGCGAAGTCTATTGGTAAACCGTGTTTACGAATTGAAGTTTGTGGGGGAGGTAAGAAGTGAAAAGATGTCTGGTTTGCTTTGCTCTGTAAAGGAGGTATTAATATACTATATATAAACTTGCTCTTAAAATTAACTAAACACGTGGAATTTTCTTATTTGGGGCATTCTATGCATGTCTAATGGAAACAACGAATAAAGAAGGCAAATCTTAACATTGCGATCTCAGACTTCAGTGTTGCACTACATGTTTCGTTTTTCCACAATTTCCGAACTTTTTACTAAGTATAATGGTGTTCCACTTTTTTGAAATCAATGAAATTCCGACGAAATATTCTATTTTATCGCATGATTTTATCCATCTCAAAATGCAATGATACCAAGTTTACCGTTTTGCCATATCTTGCAGACATGCTACCACACAAACCGACACATCTTACTGTGACTGAAGTTGCATCAAGATACCTCAAGATAACCTGGAAAGATCCCGAAATCACTGGTATGAAACTTGGCACAAGTATCTTGAATCCTCTGACCAAAGTTCGATTAATAGTGCTGAAGGATACTGTCGTTATTTTTAAAAAAACTTTGGAAGCAACTCTAATTAAACCTTACAAATTAGAGAATCTCATTCCTTACACAACGTATGTAATAAATGTAACCGCTGGCAACTCTGAAGGTTTTGGTGGATCAAGCACAGCTAGTTTTATCACTGCTGAAGATGGTGAGTTCATATTATTTTTTTGTGCATTAATATCGGTTTTGTTTGCATTGATGGTTTTATTGTCGTGGACGAATTTTGAGAGCTCAAGTCGTTTGCTGGTAGACTTATGTGTCAATCATGTTTATCTTTTGTGTTTTATTTAAGTTAGTAATGACAGTACACTTGTTGGGATTTTTTTTTAAAGTGTTTTTACTGTTTTACATAAATCTTTGAAAAATATGTTTTTCATTTTTGTTCAGTTCCCGAAGGTCCATCTTTAAATGTTAACATTTTCGCCATCAGCAGTTTATCGTTATCAGTCACGTGGAAGCCACCAGATGTAACCAAAAGAAACGGAAAGATAGTCAGTTACACTGTTTGTATTACGCAATTAGAGAATGAAACGTGTTCAAAGAACTATACCACCAAGGAACAGCATTTTGAAATGATTAATAATGTGAAGCCAGAGACAAAATATTATGTTCGCGTTTCAGCGTCTACGATAGTGGGATCTGGAATTTACAGCAATAGTACATGGGCATTTTCAAATGGATGTAAGTTGCTTATCGTTAAAGTAAATGTTCGATTAGGATGATAAATTTATTCTACTTTCATATTTAGTGGCACCTAAACTGCCCATTACGCAGATTGGAAATTCATTGACTTATTTGTTGCAAAATCCAACTTTGGAATATCGGTTTGTAGCTACCTCAGGGTCAATTTTTACATGCTATAATTAACAAAGAACTATTTTTTTGAGTTTTTTTTAGCTCTTTGCTCAAGTACATATAGGACAATAGTTTTAATGAGAGGATTGGGGAGGTGTAAACAGCTGCTCAGTTTTTTTCGGGCAGTGCTGAGATGTACAACATGTATTTGAACAATTGACGAAAGCAGAGGGTATGCGTGTATTTTTAAAAATGTTTTGCCTTCAATTTGCAGATATTTCTTCGTAGTCGTGATGGAATATGGCGAAGAAGAGAATCGTTTGACTTCTAACTTCAAAAATACAGACTTAGTGACTTTTTCTGAGGCCATTGCCGCCACGCAACCAACGCCGTATATTGCCGCCGTAATGTCTCGCGGAACTTTTAAGTCTGAGTTCACACTTGGTGTTAGCGGAAACATAAGTCTTGCAAGGACAAGAAGACGGCGTTCTAATGGTAAAATTTATTATAATGGGCCGCTGAAGCCCGGCACTAACTACAGAATATTTCAACGCGTTTTCTTAAACGATCAGGTGCGATATTTTCAATACCTTTTTACCCGCATTGATAACAACATTTTTTATTCAGATATGAATGTTCACTTTGCTTCAGGGGGATTATTATTCTACGGACTGGAGTCCAGTGGTAGCAACTGCCCAAAAGCGGAAGTCATCAGGTTGGTGTTTGCTATCAATAGCTTATGTGAAATTTATGGATGTCTGAAGTGTAATGTTTCAAGATCGTTGCAAAGTTCGCTTTTACCAAGTGTCTGAAAATTCTTCATAATGGATAGTGATCTTGTTTGATGATGCAGCAAAAATTCAACAAGTAACTGACGCAAGGATTTTGTACATCTGTATTCCAATTGCATTGCGTTTAAAAATAAACTACCCTACATAAGATATGGATGGTTAAGCCAGTTACTGCATCAATTCATACTTTTTTGAAAGTTTCCAGGTCATTTGTATGAAATTTCAAGCTTTTTGGAGAAGGAGAAGGAATTTATGACAGACATATGTAATGTGTTAGAAATTGCCTGTTCTGTTTATAATCAATAGCATGTACACGCATTGTGCAAAAAACTGCAGGATGTGCAAAAAGTGCCCACCCTCACCCCCACCCATTGAAAAGCATCGTTTAAGACTTTTAACTTGTCAAATTTGAGACATGTGTAGAAATGGAAAAGATTAAAAGTAAAAATTAAAAAACTAAGATGTCAAGGATATATAACAGTAACTTTGACGAAGCAATTAAAAAAAATAATGTTGCGCGCATGTTTTTGGTATAGAACAACATGTCATGTTTTTTGACTGCCTTCGTTGGTCATTCATTTAATCCATTTTGCAGCATTTAAAAAGCTCGACATCATTTGTTGTTTTCACTTTTTTTATCGAACGATTTACTTCTGCTTGTAAATTCTCCATAATGTTTAAAAGTGGCAAATGGTTTGGACTTTGGCCGTTGCATCACATGTATCTAGTTAGTTGTAAGATATTTTAATACAACTCCACTTGCGCGTTTGTAATCATTGTGATGTTGGAACACACGCAAATGAATATAATGTACTGCAATATCAAGTTATCCATTCATACCTTTAGGTAGCTATGTTTTCTTTATAGTTGGGATCAGAGCCCTGTATTTGTAAGAGTTTGGGACATGTATTGCTCTCTGCATTTTGCATTATGATAAAGGTGATTGGGTAGAAGGGGTCACATGGGCATCTTGCCGCCATTTTTGTTCCAAAACCGCAAATTATAACCATTTCTTACTTAGGAGATAAATTATGAAAAAATGTTTACAATGATTTTATGATGCGTTACAATAGTGCCAATCAAAGCGATGTAGAATAGAAACATTTTTGTTCACCCCTTGTACACTTAATGTTTTTTTTGCGTTCTGTTTTTTATCATTCATTTTCATCTTATAGGCGGCGGAAATTCTGGAGCTATTGCAGGTGCAGTTGTGGCTGCTATTTTCGTCATTATTCTTGTCGTATTGGTCATTCTGTTTGTGAGAAGGTATGATTATTACTTTGGGATTTTTTAACGTGCCAGTTTTGCAACATTAAATAACTACGTACCAGTTTTCCAACATTAAATAATTACGTACCAGTTTTCCAACATCAAGTAGCTACGTACCAGTTTTCCAACATTAAGTAACTACGTATCAGTTTTCCAACATTGAATAATTACGTACCAGTTTTCCAACATTAAGTAACTACGTACCAGTTTTCCAACATTAAATAACTACGTACCAGTTTTCCAACATTAAATAATTACGTACCAGTTTTCCAACATTAAGTAACTACGTACCAGTTTTCCAACATTGAATAATTACGTACCAGTTTTCCAACATTAAATAATTACGTACCAGTTTTCCAACATTGAATAATTACGTACCAGTTTTCCAACATTAAATAATTACGTACCAGTTTTCCAACATTAAATAATTACGTACCAGTTTTCCATCATTAAATAATTACCTACCAGTTTTCCAACATTAAATAATTACGTACCAGTTTTCCATCTTCCAGAATTGAAATTCGGCTTCTGTTTGGTATCAACACCTTTTAAATTTCCCCTCTTAGACGGCGTAAGGGAAGGAAACGTTCTGGGTCCGTTAAAAAATCAAATGTAGAAAAGGTCAGACATCACGGACCATCTGTAATGAATCAAGTATTTGTTGGAAGCCATAACATTGAAAATATCAACACCCCTGATAACATCAATAGCCCGATGAACAGTCAGGATGAATCAGTTCTTGTCCTGAATGAAGAGAAAGTTTACGAGAACAATGCTGGTAATCTTTATAAAATCGATTGGCAACATCAGTTTGTGTGTTGTGTATTTTAACACGTTTTTGTGGCTGTTCGTGATGACAAGTTTTTTGTCTGCAATAGCTTAGAGCTTTACCCCGTGTTACTTAGTTTCGTGTGTGTTAGTTAATTTCATGTGTCAATTTCCACACGTGTTACTTAGTTTAATGCGTGTTAATTTCATGTGTGTTAATATTTTCATGTATTTTACTTAGTTTAATGCGTGTGAATTTCATGTGTGTTAATATTTTCATGTATGTTACTTACAGTTTTATGTCCGTTGCTTAGATTCATGTGTGTTTTTAGTTTCATGTGTGTTTTTAGTTCCATGTGTGTGACTAAGCTATTTTCATGTGTGTTTCTTTGTTTCCTTTGTGTTAACTTAGTTTCACATCCTTAACGTCTTATAAAAGCAAAATTATTTACATTTGTTACTGAAATGGAGTAAACCCTCTTCATTGCGCTTGTAAACTTTTCAAATGACGTTCTTTGTTTAAAGATAATTACATACTTATTTTCTCACCTGTTGATGTTTTCCTTTCTGTACTCTTTAAGCTATTACCGCCAAGGATCGTCAACCAATTCCCATAGCAATGTTTGAGAGACACGTGAGGAAACTGAAGCATAACAACATGAAGGAACTAAAGTTAGAGTTCGAGGTAATGTTGCACCAGCTATCATTGAGTTAAGCGCATGCGCATTTAATTGAAAGGTTTTACTTAGGTTTTCGTTGTAAGAAACGCGAGCTTATCATTAAAAGCTCGTAGTAATTGTACAAACTATCTACTTACGTATATAAAAAGTACGTAAAACTGCAAGTTGCTATCACAAAATATCAGGAAATTTTCCGTTGTCACAGTTAATCGTGTGTCCAATTAAACTACCCAAAATTTTACACGTTTTTTTGGCCCTGTCACACATTTGGTGTAACACTTAAATGATTTTGATTTTTACAGGATTTACCAAATGGTCAAATGTCCAATTGGGATGTCGCGAAGAAACCTCACAATACTTCAAAAAACCGATATGGAAACGCTGTCACATGTAAGATTATTAGCCAAGAAACTTTGAATATTCCGAAACTTGTGTGGAAGCACAGTCATTTATAAGATTATGAACGAAAAAACTATACCATAATGACGATAACTGATTGAAATGCAGTCAGATGTAAGATTATTGACTAGTAAATCTTACTACTAATAAAAACGGAGCAATATTGATTATTAGTCTAAGAACCATGCAATACTAACGAAGGCCGTTTCATTTAGACGACCATTCTCGTGTGATACTCTCCGGAGATGAAAAGACTGACTATATTAATGCTTCATTTGTCGACGTAAGTGTTCTACAAAGCTTTAGTTCATTAATTTAACCATATACAGGGTGTCCCCCGAAAAACGGAACCCACACAAACTAATTTTATATGTGCCGAAGTTACTATGCACAATACTATCACTATAGCATTCACATGGTGTTGGATGAACTTGACAGTTCTGCACCTCTGGGATTTTACGGTGTTTGTACACAGTATTACAAGCGGGTACAAACACGTACTTTCATCTCAATTTATAACCCACAATCTTTGTAAAATCAAAGCGACATTAACAATGTTAAAACGGCCACAAAAACGTAATCGTATTTTCCGTGATTTGCATTGGACATTGACAGACTAGCGTGTAAACAAATTAACCAGGCGGAACAAACAGCTGTTGCAGACTAAATTATTTTGTGCAGATTTCATTTTAATACATACATAATTATTTGTGTGGGCTCCGTTGTTTTCGCACATCTTGTATGTTGATTGTCGTTCGAATAATGTCAGTGAATGGTTGCTTACTGATATAGGGGCTGATTATATGAGCCCGGGTTTAGACGGGATTCAGTCAAGCAATAAATGATTTTGGCAAATGGAAAAGATTCAATACTCTTCATCAGATAAATCTTCTCTGGCAATTTCACAATATTCTGGTTTGATAACTACACAAAACATTTAAAATTACACAACCAATTTGGTTTAATTTGAGAACCACAACAGGAATGACTTCTGGTGCTTAATCAAACAGTTGTAATTTTTACGCTTGAAGTTTCTACTCCTTTCAATACCTCAAAATCATTTCACGCCTCGCTGAAACTCGGCTAGCCGGGATCATGTAAACAGCCCCATACACTCCATGCAATTGTTTTTTAACGTTTCTACGTTTGTATTTCAGGGCAAAACTGACAATTATTACATCGCGACTCAAGGTATGTAAAAAGGTACTATCGCACGTGCCTTTTCTAGTTCTAAAGGATGTTTTGAATACGAAATGGTTGTTTATTCGATAATTTCAATGTGTACCACATTAGTGTCAAAAGATATACAGTTACTTAACATTGCGTTGTTGTTAGAGATTATTTATAAGTAAAACTATGTTAGTGAGCTTACTTAGTTATCAAATGTATAAGTAAAACCATGTTAGTGAGCTTACTAAGTTATCAAATGTACACAAAAGCCAAGGGAGTTTGAGTAAAACTTGCATTGTAATACTATGATTGCCAAAATGCTTTAGCCAGTGTTTCACATACTGTCAAGTACTGTGTAAATTAAATGTTTTTGTGTTTTTGGGAATACTATGTTGTGATTTTTATTATTTCATGCCAACATTCGGGTTTGTCTATAATACCACAGAATGTGGGATGTACAGAAGGGTCACTCGTATCGGAGCCTTAGATGTTTTTGTCCTCGCGCATGTTGTGCCGTGCATATCGGCAGCCATTATTCCAGCAAGATATTTAGGGCTTTTCACTTGTTCCCAACCACTAAAATGACCGAACGTCAATTCTTCTATTGAAATATTTTCGATTTCATTGTGAAGAAATGACGTCATGTAAGTGCAGCGGTTGGAAAAAAAGTGAAAAACCGTAAGTACCTTGCTGGAATGATGGCGGCCGTAAGGATGCGGTGCACACCTGAGTGGCTCTTCTGTATAATTTTTATTCTGAGCTAATACTACCAGTACATGCGACTTGTAAGGTCGTATTAATTGTAATACAACATTTAAATTTGAATAGTGAATTCTAATTAGGTAAATACGTACATTATTAATTCGTTAAACGAGAACGAAAGAACTTGAGGCGACCATGCATCATACTTTTTTCGATTTTTATCAAACTGAATTGACTTACATTTTATCGTTCATATGCTATGACGAAATTCCTTCTCTTTGCTCTCCTTCTTTCAGGACCCAAACCCAAAACAGTCAACGACTTTTGGAGGATGATATTCGAACACAAGTGTCCAACTATTGTGATGTTGACGACATTAAAAGAAATGGGAAAGGTTTGAACAGTGTGGCCATACATATGCTTTTTTTCATTAGGTTTGTTCTGACGAGTTTAGACTTTTCCACCTGCTTTATTTAGCTTAAAAGTTTAGAACAGGGGGTTGTTTAAACTCATCCGTCCGAATCTGGATAAAAACTTGCATACATGGTTACAATTGGTTGGACCATTGTGTCGACATTAATTATTTAATTTACATCTTTAAAAGCGCCAACAGTTAGAGAATCAAACTGGCAAATAAAAACTACCGTTTTAGAGAACTTTTATTTAATGGAATAAATATTTTCGTGTCATTTTGAATCGTGATAACGAATTAAATTATTCAAATTGTACATACATCATGCTTTTCCTCTCAGGTGAAATGTGAAAAGTATTGGCCAGATGAATCCAAGATATACGGTACGATCCAGGTGACCATCACCAAGACAAAAGCTTTTGCTGACTACGTCTTGAGGTCTGCAGTAGTGAGCAAGGTAAGTCAGTCTTAAAGCAAACCTCCAGGAGGCTGCAGGTGTAAGAGGGAATTTTGGTAGGTCGTTTTTCTATATTATTGATTTACCTGTGCATGCACTAATTAATCAGAAATTTACAAAGACGTATTTCTTTATTCTACTGAAAGACTGCGAGATAAATCGTTATGAAAGAATTTTCCTCTATTTTTAACGGTTACCTTCATTTTGCCGTTGTCCACGTTATCTTTTACCTTGTTCTGCAACAGAAGTATGGTGTGTCGACCTCATTGCTGACAGACCCATATGTAATAAGCTTGGAGTGAACCCTTAGGAATGTATCAATCACAATCTGTGCCGTACTTTGTCCAAAAATCTATTCTTTGTTTTCACTTTGAAATTATTGTGAAGAGAATAATGTCGTCGGTCGTTCCACCCGACGAAGGGACAAAATGGACGCTGATGTTTTTTTATCTTTTACCTTTAAGTGTCAGTACCTAATGTTTGTTGTTATTGTCACAGGATGGTGAGCATCACAAAGTCCAGCAGTTTCATTACATTTCATGGCCGGACTATGGTGTGCCTCGTCATCCAACACAACTATTGACATTCAGGAAGCATTTCAAATCTTATCATAAGACAAAAGCCGGTTTTGCCGTCATCCATTGTAGGTTAGTGACAACATGTGCCAAAACTAGACGTTAAATGGGAGGGAGGGTAAATATTCATATATTCAGCTCTGTCCTGCTGATTTCTTCCGAAATTAAAATCGCTAACAAACAAAATCAGTGGGTCAGTGCTAAATATGAATATTCAGCCCCCTCAATTAACGTTCTAGTTTCGGCCCTGCATGTGTAGTAAATCCTAAAATAATCCTCCATCGTAGGTTAGTGATGACATGTGTAGTTTAAAGTACTAGCTTTTCTCCTCGCTGCAATAGTTTTTACTATGTTGCCAACAAGAATGAATGCAAGACGATTTTGTACCTGGGGATGCTCATGTTTGAATTGAATTTTGTTGCTGTTTACGGTTGTCTATTTGTCTTTGCCTTTTTTGTCAGGAATTTTATATACTTGACAACAAGTTTAGGATTTAGTTGAGGGAGGACGGTTTGAAATGGTGCAAACCTCTTCTCTCTCTGCACTATTTTAGTATATTGAAATGCATGCATTAAAAGCTTGCACTAATGACATGGATGAACATAGTTTTATTGTTTACGTATTTGCTGACGTGTGAAGTCATAGTAAGCTACTATTGATAGTACACGAGATCTATTTGTCTGGGAAGTTCAGTGTCATAGCAGTTCAGTGGTAGTTCAGTGTCGTAGCAGAAGTGGAAGTTCAGTGTCGTAGCAGAAGTGGAAGCTCAGTGTCGTAGCAGTTCAGTGGTAGTTCAGTGTCGTAGCAGTTCAGTGGAAGTTTAGTGTCGTAGCAGAAGTGGAAGTTCAATGTCGTAGCAGAAGTGGAAGCTCAGTGTCGTAGCAGTTCAGTGTAAGTTCAGTGTCGTAGCAGTTCAGTGAAAGTTCAGTGGAAGTTCAGTGTCGTAGCAGTTCAGTGGAAGTTCAGTGTTGTAGCAGAAGTGGAAATTGCCAAAACTGCCCACTTGATGTGCTTCACCCAGTTTTATAAACACTTGATTTTTGTGTGGGGACACGACCTCGTTTTAGTGGATGGATAATGCATATTTAGGTCATACAGGTTGTATGTTGTTAATATTAGTAAATTTTTCCGTTTGCTTTCTTCCTATAGCGCTGGTGTTGGTCGTACTGGAGTATTTATTGCCATAGATAAAATCCTCGATGATCTTGACGATGATTATGAGACAAATATTGATGTATTTGGCTTTGTAAAAGAGATGAGATCGCGGCGAATAAACATGGTTCAGACAGCGGTATGTCAATAAATGTGTAATAGGGACATCTCTACACATACAGTACTTTAGTGGGTAACATTGCGTGGGGGGTGGGGCGAGAGTGCTTATGTATAAAGGTGCTGCAGACAGCATGTCCTAATTGTCCATAATAGTGACATCTCTACTTGGGATGTATTCAAGAGGGTGTTTTTCCATAGGAGAGCAGTGGCAAAACCACAGGAGAGCATGTTTATTTATCCTACTTTGCCAAATTAAGTTGCTCTAAAATTTATTATTTTTAGAGATAATAATTTGCATGTATGAATATTATCTTCCCCTCCCTTCTCTCCTCACACACATAATTATCGAGGTGATGCAATGATTTTGAACGTGATCCTAGCTCTTTATGTCTATCTACTGAGTCAAGGTGAGGCAAGGACGCCATCTTAAAAGGTGGCAAAAAGCAAAACTCAAAATTAAAGATAAGTTAAAAAAAAGTTTAAAAACCCAATCCTATCAAAAAATTTAAAAATTGAATCCAGACCAGCAACTCTCCAACTGTATATCAACTCTCGAAATGCAGATTTTAATCGTCAGTAGCGTAAGTTTTCCAACTTTCAAGATGGCGGCTTGCCTTTCTCGTAAATATAGAATTTTTGCGAAGTCACATATCTAGTAGATTTGGTTCTATGTCATTGAGCTGTAGACGCCATTTTAAGGAAAGGGTGCTTTATTGTGATTGAAGAGTTAAAAGATATGCGCTTTAGTTTCCATGTCAATCTTGTAGGTATAATTTATTTCACGTAGAATTAACTTCCTCAAATTTACTGGTGCTGTGATCACTATCCTTATTTGCAAATCTTTTTGACACAAAGATAATGAAGTTCTTAAGATGGCATCTGTATTTTGAGAAACATCAATTTTTCACACGTTACTTTGTTTGTTTTTAACTATTGCTAGTACCTCATAGTTTATCATTTTGAGTAGAAAGCCATATGTTCTAACCAATCTAGGATCAGTACATGTTTATTTATGACGCCATTATGGATCATATCCAATGTGGAGTGAATGAAATTGAGGCTATGCAAATCAAGGCCGAGATCGAACATCTATCAAAAAAGCTTGGGAATGGAAGAACTGGATTTGAAGAAATATTTGAGGTAAATAAAATGGCGATGCATAGTTTAAGATTGTACATTAGGTTGTTACCTTGCATTATTTTACACTGCTGCATTTTTTTCGGACTTCTTGTTTCAAAATCACATTCCCTCTAATAAGGACGTTGGACTGGAGTTTATAAGTTTCTGAAGGAGTCAAGTTCAACTTAAATCACTCATGATGAAGACCCTTGACTTAAGTATGAATTAAGGACTTAAATTTTAGCATTAGATCACTCCTTATGAAGACACTACACCGGAGTATATAAAGACTCGAGTTTCAACATCAAATCACTCGTAATGAAGACACTAGACTGTAATATGTAATATAAGAACTCAAGTTTGATCTTCACATCACTCCTGATGAAGACACTAGACTGGAGTACATAAAAACTCACACTTCAACATCAGATCATTCCTAATGAAAACACTAGACTGGAGTATATAAGTACTCTGCTTTTGGCGCTGGGTTATTTTTTTGAGGAAGACGCTAGACTTTTGTATTTTGAGGAGTTATGCTTCATCATTTCAAAGTTGATGATTTTCTTAACAGCGTTTACAATCGGTCACAACAGAACTACCTGAAGAAGTTTGTGAAGCTGCACTTTTGAATGACAACAAGAAAAAAAATCGCAATCCTAAAATATATCCAAGTATGTTAATACTTACATAAAACGTCTGACAGAGACAAAGTTAAACTTTTACTTGTAGTCCGTATTGTATCTTCCTTGTTTTGTATCTTGTCGCTTAAAATGTATACGTCCACTTAAGGAACGGCGGTGGATTCATAAAATTGATGAAGAGGTGGCTTCTTTTAATAATATCCTTCCCCCCTTTTCCCCTAATTATCGATCTTTGATTGTCACTGTACCGTCAGCCAGTCCGTGATAGTTTGTTTTCTTTTTAGGTGAATCTAATCGTCCACCCTTAGCCACCTGGATCAAATCGAGAATTCCGACTACATTAACGCGTGTTTTGTTGACGTAAGTAGCTTTACGGAACATCTGAGTGAATATTTTACAGTTTATTATTGTTCCTGGGATATTTTAAAGCCAGTAAGCGAAACTACGACCACACTGCAGAAAACTATATTCGTATGGTGTTTAACCTATAAAAACTGATATCTTTATGAACATGTCGTGCGTTGATTTAGGGTTACCTTGGCAAGAATTATTTTATTGCCACCCAGACACCTTTAAAAGAAACCATTAACGACTTTTGGAGGATGGTTTGTCAATATAAGTCTTGCACCATCGTTATGCTGAATCAACTCAACGAAAACAACCAGGTCTGTGATGAATCGAAAGAAAGGAATTTTGCATTGATTATATTGTGATTCATTAGGGTCGTAGCTTTCTCGATGTACTCTCTCTAAATTTAATTTTTTTTGGATGACTTGATTTGCTTTGGTATTTATCAGCAATATCCAATGTTTTGGCCTATGCAACGAGCCAGAGCTCAATCGTTTGGTAAAAGTACCGTCTTGTTGGATTCAGTTGTAACAAAAGATGACATTACCGTGAGAAAGTTTATTGTTTCGCCTACGATGGTGAGTTTTTGAGTCAGCATTAAGTTGACAAGAATTTATTTTGGGTTGATTCTTTTAGTTAAAATGGTGTTACATGTATGCATAAGACATAAGTAGCTACATGATGATTGACTGTTTAAGCTTGTATTTCTGATAGAAAACAATATGGACTAGAGTATCTAAAGACCACACTAGTTTAAAAATAACATCACTCGTCGAGAAGACACCAGACTGGATTATTTAATGACACAGGTTTCAACATGAAATCACTACTAACGAAGGCATTAGAATGGAGTATATAAGAACTGAAGTTTTAACATCAGATCATTCTTGATTAAGACACTTGACTGGAGTGTAATAACTTTTAACATTTCCGATATTTTAAGACTAAATTATTTATTACATTTCCTATTGTTTGTTTCTTAGGACATTAAAAATGGTCGTATGGTCCGCATGATTCACTACGTATCCTGGCCGGATCATGACGTTCCTAAAGATGTTCACAGTATGGTGGAAATTTTATCTGAAGTTGAAGATTCACAAAGAGCTGCTGATGTAAAGGGACCTGTCATTGTTGTGTGCAGGTAAACACGTGTCACTGGAATATTAGCAATTGATTAGTCCGGTTTTTTTGCTCTGTTTCGTTAAAATTCAGCGGTTTAAGTTCTGTGTGAAGATCTCTACAAGAAATTTGCTACAAACTCAAAAGTACCTATAATTTTATTTTTTCGCATCCAGTGATGGAGCAGGTCGATCTGGAACCTATATTGCTATCTCAAATCTTGTCGACCGAGTCAAAATTGTCCAAGCGATGGATGCGTTCCAATGTATCAAGCTGATCCGGAATAGACGCCCGCAGTTCGTCGAAACGGCGGTAAGCTTGTCTTTCTAATTCTCATGAAGCCCCAATTGCACCAGCACCGAGCGCTATTCTCATTTATGAACTATGCAGCCTCTACTAAATAGACCATAAAAAATTCGTTGTTTTGACTTTATATAAATCAACACTTTGACACATTTACGATCATCATATGTTGTATGGATATTGTCGGATTTCAACTTTAGAGTTCGTGCTTGTATGCGAACTTTGCTCTCAGTATCATAGCCTAACTGCATGTTTGGTCCTGCTATGTAGGTCGTGCTTTGTAAATCATAAGCATTATTTCTTTCTTTAGAAATCTGTTGTGTAATAGTTAGTCAACATAATCTAGATATCAATACAAATTTGCCTGATGGCTACGCTAATGGCTGCTCGGCTGTTTTCGCTTCTGATTTTAGTTTGCTTTTTGAGAGTGGAAGCTTTTAGTTTGATAATAAATTTATGCCTGGATGGATAGGTGCTGACCTCCCTCCTGATATTTATTTTACTGAAGGTCTTTATATATGAGTTTTAATAGTTTTATCACTGCCGGCGTCACTGTCTGATAACCGTTAACGTGAACAATAATTTCTAAACAGAATGTTTCTGGAAACTTACACATTGAATTTTGTTTAGCTCGACCAACCTTGGTAATGTACTTAGTTTTTTGATTATTTCTATAACATTTTTACTCTTTAGGATCAATTCAAACTCTGCTACCGTGCAGTGAACTGTGTATTGGAGTTGTTCGACGACTACTCAAATTTCTCGGAAATAGGTGGAAGTTGAATTTTTATACTGTACAAATTTCTGGAAAATTTTTTAAATGGTTGCTGGAATGTTACATGTTCTGCAATTTTGTCTTCCATGAAAGAATAGAAATCAATTTAAAAAACATTTAAATATTTACTTTAGTTTTAACGAGGAGAGTCCAAGTCAAGTATCGTTATATGTTTGTAGATGTAGATCGTCCATGTTGGTAAATTCCTGAAAAAGACTGTTTGTGTTGATGTTGACTGACGTTTCGACAACGTTGACTCTAAAGATGACTACCGCTAAGGATGTCGAAACGTAAGTTAAAATCAACAACAGTCCTTCTCAGGACTCTACTAACCTGGACAATATACATGTGTAAACATCTAGATTGTCTAGGTTGTTAGGAAACCTGATGAGAGTGAATAATTCTGATTAGGATTTAAAAACAATTTGGAACATAACATAAAATTATTAAGTTTAGCAGTGACGTAGCAAGTTTGGTCGTGTTATATAAATTTTTTTGTGTTCACTTACTGTAAAAACAATAGATTTCTAAAGAAATGAATAATGATAATGATCTAAAATATACATAGCACGACCAAATTTGAGGGCTGACTACGAATTTTGTCAATATTTTAAATAGTACAGTATCAGTAATATTTTTCAATTGAATATATTAAATTGAGTACTAAGAACAAAAGTAATAAACAAAAGCAAATCGAAATTAATCGCGAGTTCGAAACAAACAATCCATGGCGGCCGTTGCCTCAAATTTCCGCCTCTGAACGATAGTGTAAAAAGTAAAACACTTCAAAGGACATTTCACAACAAAAATCCAAATTTTGAATTAAAAGGGAGATTTCATAACTACATGTCAGTATTTTCCGTCTAAAGATGATATGGGATGACTTAAGGGGGGAATACATGCTGTAACATATTCACACAGATTTTTTTTTTAATCTCACAAGGAACTTTTGTCTTTTCCAACACTTCAATCTACAAGTATTCCAGTTTACAACACAGTTTGGGGAATCCAGGATTATGGCAATAACAACTAAGTGAATCATAGTTGGATAAAACGGATCTTCAAACACTCGAAGATGTAAACGAGCAGTGCTCAAGCTTTTCTTCTTTTTCATGATTTGAATATTCTTTCTAAAGTGTCGTATGAAATGTTTGACTACGAAAATTACCCGTTAAAAACCAATCCATCCATGCTGATTGTATTTGTCCACCCGTTACTCGGTTTTATAATTAACCATTTATTTTTGGAAGTCGTAAAGAAAACACAAATTTCTTTGAAAAATGATATTTCGGTTCTCTTATAATGGTTAGTGTTTAGATTTTATTTATTGGGATTCGCATTGCTCCAGATATAGACACTTTGAATTATCGAGAAATACCTGCTGTAATAAGTTTTCTGTTATCTTTTGGAAATATCCAATATTTGAGTAATGTAAACAACCAAAAGCAACAGGTTTGTTAAACAGGTTTATTGGATTCAGTCGTGACAGAAAATTACATCGTTATCATGAAATTCATTGTTTTTGTGTCTAGTTTATGCAGATTAAAAACGTTGATTTAGGAAGCATGAAGTGGACTGGCTGACGAGTACAGTAGATTTTTGTTCGTATTACTTCGTATTTTGTTTGTATTCTATTGAGTGATATCACTCTATATGGATTATTTAAGGACTCAAGATTCTATATCAGACAGATAATAAAAACCTGATAATAAAATGTACAACGAGTGAAATAGTAATAAATATTAATAATTTAATAATACATTTATGTTTATAATTTTTAAAGGACATCAATTAAAGTCGGACGATGCGCGTAATCAACTACGCGTCACAGAAATTTATGGCGCCCACCCGAAAAATAATCACGGTTTGGCAGAAATTTTACCTGAAGTGGAAGGTTTAAAAAGAACTGCTGAAGTAAAATGAGCTGTCATTGTTGTCAGTGGCGTAGCTAGCGAAAAACATTTGGTCGGGCTCACGAGGCGCCACCATGGTTGGCGCCGAGCGAGAAAATTTTCCGAGTTTAGACTCCCTAGAACGTCGGAAACGGCTATCTTAGAAAGCAAATGCGTGATATTTATGCAGGAAATAGAACCATTTTGGTTATTTTAAATTGCCGAAGGATCTTATAGTAAAGCAGAGAAACAGTTCAAAAATAGTTGCAGTTGCAGATATGTGATTTATTATCTCAACACCACATACATAAATAGATACCTATGTACATCTTGTAAAGAAACTTTGACAAAAGAACCGAAAAAGGCTCAGATTTGTCATCAACAACTATCAAAAGTTGTGTTGAAATTGTCGTGCTGAAATGACAATCATCATTGACTGCATTAAAAAGTTCCCGGAAAAATTCTCACATGCCATGGACGTAAGACATCATCAGCTTGCTATCAGCCATATACGAATACCTATTTGTATAAGAAAGCAAGTCTTCGTGGTTTTTCAGTGAACTTCTTTACTACCTCATCATGTGTTGGCGTCTTCTTTCTCTGACAGTATGTCTTTGTGAATGAAAATCCTGCAAAGAGAACTAAAACGTCCTTGGCTCATAGTATTTCTAAGATAATTTTTTACCCTCTTCAAACAAGAAAATGACCTCTTAACTGAAGCACTTGTAATTGACAAAACCCCATTTATCTTTAACAGTTTTACAACTTCTGGAATACTAGATTGATAATGGAACTGAAAAATATATTTCAATAATTCATATCATGAATCACAGTGAAAGTCTTTATCTCTGTAAATAAAACAAAGTTGGCTAATTAGCATTGGTATGTCAAACATATCACCATAAACCTCCTTTAGAAGATTAATCTTTTCTGAGGGCACTTCACCTATCCACATCTTAAACACCCTAGGGTTAACAAGGTCAAAAATCTAAAACACTCCATATCCTGAAATCGCTCAGTCAGCATAGTCACAATTGTGTCAAGAATTTCAAAATACATTTGTTTTTAATTATGCCGTTGGTCATACCTGGTTACCGGTGGTCCCACTTTCTCAACAGCCAGGTCGTACACCTGACAATATTCTGTATCATTTCTCAGAGAAGCAACAAAGGCCTTGAATCTCTCAAACCTACTCATTCCATAATGAAAGTCAGTGTCCTTGTCTTGCAAGATAGAATAAAGTATGGATGACTGCTCAAGAATTCTCTGGAAAACATGTACCAAGAAACAAAACAAGAAGCCATTAAGGTAGCCAAGTAAACCAGTAACCTTACTTAACGTTTCATCATCCCAACCTATTGGATTATCAGTAAGATTTTCAAATATGTCTATCAGTTTCTCACAGTTAGAATGCAAGACATTGATGACATGAGCCCTATAATACCATCTTGTGTCACCAGGACTAGGAAACTAAAGCCTATGGGATGATAGTAAAGCTTTTCTTTTGGGGGGAATTGCTAGTAAAGGTGCAGAAAGCACTAATATTAACAAAGAAAATCTTAACAGGTGAGATGGAGGATGCAGCTTGACATAATACTAGATTTAGTCTATGGGCAGCACAGTGAACAACATGAGCATAAGGATAATCCTGCTGAACTTGAGCTTGAACACCATTGAGATGACCAGACATAACAGATGCACCATCATAAGTCTGTCCAATAAATTTCTCTTTCACATTATTATATTGACTTAACTTAACTTAACTGATGATATAGCAGTTGCAGTCCTATCACAACTAACATCAACAAACCCAAGCTGTCTTTCAATGACACTTTCCCTTTGTCCATTCGAACAATTACACTCAATTGTTCTTTGGTAGAAACATCAGTTGCCTCATCAACCTGTATAGTTAAGAAAGTGCAGAAATATATTTCCTTTAAAATCTCATCCTCTATTATCTTATCAAGACAATCAATCAAATCATTCTGAATATCAGGAGAGACTCCAGTAAAGCCCTCCCCAGAAGGTGGGTTTCAGCAAGCCTTCCATGTAATCGCCTTTCAAAACAGAATCCATCTTGGCAAAACTTTCAAGTAGCTCTCTATAATTTCCTCTATTCATGCTGCTACTAGATTCATCATGCCCCCTAAATGCAAGCTCTTGCCTAGACAAGTATAAAACAGCTTCTGTTATGGTTTTCAACATTTCCCTGTCTTGCCTTACCTCCTCGTTATGACGCTGAATCTCTTCACGTCCAGTTTGTGACATGAGACAGTCGATACGAGGCTGAAAACCGTAGGTCTTCCAGGTCTTGTAGGCTCCCATGTGCGATTTTGCCTTCTCATGCTTCTTACAATCGGATAAGAAATTCTTCATGTTTTTGAATCCCATCTGCGTCCATGAAGATGACGATCCAGGGCAAAATAAAAGACAAGGCCAACAGAAAAATGCATTCTTTTCTGAGCTACCACAAAGCCAATCTTTCTTCGAGTACCAACTTTCCTGAAAGCTTCTATTGCCTGTAGTCGCTTGTAAATTTGGAATTGGCCGCTGCTTTACGAGTATATTTCGCTCGCCTGATTGTCGAATAGAAAAGGGTTTCTTTTATAGTTCACTTATTATATCGATTTCATTAGCCGAAGCCATTGTAATGTAAGTTATCACGATTTCCGAACGTATATTTCGAAAGCTCAAAATTCCAGTCACGCTTTTGAAAATGAGCCCGAGTAGATGTTGTTAAACGTTTGAGTGTGGTTCACAGCTACTCTCAACCAATCAGATTACAGATATTCCCACTATAGATTTTATTACTTGGTCGGGCTGAATTTTCAGAGCCCGACTAGATGTTGCGAAATAGCGCATTTGAGTTTGCTCAGTTGCTGTCAACCAATCAGATTGCAGGTAATCCCACTATAGATTTTATTGTTTGGTCGGGCTGAATTTTCAGAGCCCGACTAAACTGCGTAATACCTGGCACTAGAAATGCACTAGTCATTGTTGCTAAGTAACGTTTAAAAATATGATAATTTTGCTAATAACGACGCAATTTGACAAATATTACACTAATAGACTGTGGATTATTCCAAAAAGAGTCGCAGAATTTAAAATTTTCGCAAATCCAATTTTAACGAAAACAAATTTTTCATTTTTGGGAAAATATTTGGTCGGGCTGGGCCCGACCAGCCAGACCGCTAGCTACGCCACTGATTGTTGTGAGCAGGTCATGTATGTATATGGAGTGCGCGTTCACTTAACGTCTCACATTATCGCACGGATATTGAAGCTCTCCTTTCTTCATTTACGTGGGAGGGGAGGGTGGGAACTGTGCAACAAACTTTAATCCTTATATTTTGAAAGTCAATTTTAATTGAAACTGGCGTATTCTTAATTCGATGTATGTTATTATGAAGGAAATCATTTTTTATTTCAGTGGTGGTTATTTGATATCTCTAATCTTGCAGATCGCGTTGATCTGTCCAAATGGTTTATGTATTTCAATGCAACTAAATGCTGTGTTGCTCTCTGGATCAGAGGTAAGTAAGCTCGTTTATAGCAAAAGTATAAGCGACAATTTTTCTGCATGCAAGCAAGAATATGACTCTTTACAATCACACGATTTTCCAAAATGTTGTAGATAAAGATTGAAATTGTTAGTCTACGTATGTAAACTACATACAATCTTTCATCAATGAGATCTCCAATTCAGCAACCCGTTTTTCAAACTTTGTCAGTTCTTTCAGATGCAACAAATCACATTAAAATATCGCAAGCGTAACTTCCGGTGAAACAGCGCACTTTTATTGGTTCAGAAACATTTTTCCATGTTCTTTACCCTTTCATAATGGACCAGTAGTCCATTACATGTATATTTTAAATAAACGTAAACAAACTTTGTGAAGCAAAAGGCAAAACGAAAAAAAAAAACAAAACAAAAACCATATACGAATGTGAGTCAAAGAAAGAACACTTGTAAATGGAGTTTTATTTTCTTGACGACACAATTTCAAACGATTTATTTTTTAAGATAGCAGAGAGAGTCGTGCTTGGCGTAAATCAAATTTGGGTGATAAAAATTAATGCCCAACAAAAGGCTTTAAATTGAGCCAAAAGTATAACAGTTTCAAAAATGGTATTTATTGTAGCGTTTTGTTTTTACCTCAGACATCTTTAGACAGTAACGTATATTATTGCATTCTTAATAGGATATGCTACTTATACGTAAATAATCATATTTACATAAGCTGTTAGAATATATCTAACAGCTTATGTAAATATGATTATTTAGCTCGATTACGTAGGGTGCGATAATGGTTACCTCTGTTTCCCAAATGCTTCAAAAATCTTGTGTCTAAATGACGTTTGCTTTGACACACATACGATGCGTTGCAGCTGCCACACTTGAATAAATACACAAATGTAAAACTCACCCCTTCCATTAGCCGCAAACCTATACCCTCACTGACCTCTTCACTAACTTCCACAGCTTCATTACACTTAGTTACAAACGTTC